TATAATTTTAAAAGTATAAGTTCCTAGTCAATGAAACTTGGACTTTAGGGTTATCAAGTATCCCCAATCTTGTGAGTAGAATTTCAGGTCACAAAGTCTAGGACAAAGGTCATTTCAGGTCAACAGACTTGGACTATGTTGTGGCATCATCATCGAAAACTTAAGGGTTAACTTTTTGAATTGTTGATATAATTTTGAAAGTATAAGTTCCTAGTCAATGAAACTTGGACTATAGAATTATCAAGTATCCCCAATCATGTAAGTAGTATTTCAGGTCACTAAGTTAAGGTCAAATGTCATTTTAGGTCAATAAACTTAGACTTTGTTGTGGCATCAACATCAAGATTCTGAATTATTAGCATATTTTCAAAATTGATTGTTCAAATTCCATGAAAATTGTACCCAAGGGTTATCAAGTATCACAAATCATATGACACAAATTCCAGGTCACAATGTCAAAGGTCAGTAGACTTAGATTATGTTTTCACAACTTAATTAAGAACTAATAATTTGTTTTTATTAATCTGTTCATATTTCATTCAAGTTATCAATCGTGGTACATTTAATAGTAAATAATTCTTCTGATGATTCTTAATCAATATTCACTTCAAAATTTTCATCATATCGAATTGCGTAATGCAGGCGAAACCGCCGAGAGCGTTTTCCTTGTTTTTTTTAATTCTTCTGTCCTCCCATCCACCTACCCCAAAGATTTTTCTCATTTCGCCACTGGGTCACCGTGGAAATAAGGAAACATAAAAGGAAACATTACCTTGAAGTAATAATAATAATAATAATAATAATAATATTAATAATAATAATAATAATAATAATTCTTGTATAGCGCATAATACGTCATGAAATAACAGCTCTATGCGCTTCCAAAGAGCTTTGGAAATTATTACCCTATAGCTTTTATTAAATGATTCTTCATTAGTGGACATACATATCATCATTCTTGCTTACATCTCAATTTGACTTAATGTGAGCGAAAATGAACAAAATAATCTCCGTTTGAAAAAAAACACGCTCTCTTTCGGAGTTTACACCCTCCACAGCTTAAAACATAGGGCTTGAGTACGTGACATCGTGGGGTAGGGTGATGGTAGGAGGACAAAAATAATCCCGGGAATCAGTGTCTCGCCGAATTTCAATTGCTGTGTTTTTTTAATCCTTAAAAAGATCATTTTCAAGCGCTTGTTTTATTCTCATAGTGAGAATAGGGGTTCACAGGTGTGCCCCCCCCCCCCGTCCGCCTATATAAGCCACTCCATGTTCTATACATTAATTTAAACATGAAGCCTATGAATCAAAAATAGGAAAATATTCAATGTCAAGAAGTAAAATCAATATAGATGATGAAACCTCTGTGGGTTTTTTAAAATAAAGATTCATCGATGTCCCTGGACGAGCAGTAGGCATACGTGGGAAGCCTTGTATATAATGCGTCATCATTATAGGTCGTATGGTCTTGTTCGTGCGGGGATATCACACCAATACACGTGCAAAATAATCTTACTATCTGCTCACGTCAAAAATGTTTTACGTCATTAGTTTTTTTTTTTAAATCAAGAAGGGGAAAAAGAAATCAAAGACGAAAAAGAAAAACGAAAAATCCAGGTGTGCACTCACCATAAAATGTAAATGCATGACTCCTCCACTCTTCGAGGAAACAAGGTTCCCCCTTTTTATCTAAACCTCTGGATATGCTCTGACCACCAGAGTTAAAGAGAGAGAGTCTTTTGGCTAAATCACCGCGAAATCAGAATAATATTAAAGTTATTTCTTATTAATTTATGTATTTATTTTTTTATTTTATATTTTATTTTATTTACCAAATATAAAAACATATAAATTACAACATACATGATAACATGAGAAAATAACATTGGATGGATCGCCCCGCTCAGCTGTGTCAGAGCAGCACAGCTGTTCTACCGGGGGGGGGGGGTCCAGTTTACAATGCAAAGCAAACGAGAGAAAATCATATATCACGAATTAAAATACTTAACGTATTGGTATAATATATATATTCTTTATCAGAGTATTACAATATTCCGCTATTAACAATGCATATTGACAAGCACGCCCCATCACCCTCTTTGAAATGCTGTCCGATTTGTTTTACCAAGGAATTGTCAATAATTATTCAGGCCTATAAACAGGGGTTTTATATACATTTTCACTGTTTTCATGTTCAAATTAATGGAGGAAGGGGAAATATATTTGTTGTGGAAAAGCTGTATAGTGTGTAACGCCTGCTAATTTATACAGTGTGAGTCCAAAAAAAGTTTACAGAAAATTACTAGAAAATTGCTTATTATTTTATAAATCATCTATATGAACAGTAAATTATTATACATGTTATGTAATAGTGTTTTATCCCGAATCGTTTTTGTGTGGTGTGTGTGTTCATGCTTGTTTGCGAGAGTGCAAAAATCGACTTGCGCCAAAGTTGCTTACGTGATGTTTGAATAAAACAATTGGGATTAGGGTATTAATTCGGTCATTGCAGATACAAAAAAACATTCCTACCAAAATTGATCATGCCACACATATCAAATATCGAGTATCAAATATCAACGAACATTGTGTGCGCGCGCGCGTGTGTGTGTGTGTGTGTGTGTGTGACTTTGCTTCTGCAAGAATTATGCAATGCATCTCATTTGATACATTCAATTCATTCTCTCACTTTAATCCCAACATATCACATACTGTAGGCATCACTTTGGCGCAAGTCGATTTTTGCACTCTCGCAAACAATGCCTACTGTTCATCCAAGTGACATACCACACACAATGATACCAAATGGTTTAGGATAAAACGCTCTTTCATGAGATGTATCATAATTTACTGTACATAGATGATTTTTACAATAATTAGCAATCTTCTAGGTGTAAACTGGTATAGAAAGTGAGGAGGAATGTTTTAACTGGGATGAGAAAGAGAGAGAGGGAGAGGGAGAGGGAGAGGGAGAGGGAGAGGGAGAGGGAGAGGGAGAGGGAGAGGGAGAGGGAGAGGGAGAGGGAGAGGGAGAGAGAGAGAGAGAGGGAGAGGGAGAGGGAGAGGGAGAGGGAGAGGGAGAGGGAGAGGGAGAGGGAGAGGGAGAGAGAGAGAGAGAGAGAGAGAGGGGGGGGGTGATTCTTAGGGGGCATCTCTAGTGGATATATTCGACAAAGGTAGCACATTATAGTTCCTGCGCTGGGAGGGTGTGGAAGAAGACGGCTACATATGGAAGAATAATCCTGCATTTTTTTGCAGATTGAACTTAGACTGAAATGTTTTTTAAGACTCACGCAGGTTACTTTTGCGTAGTACCTGTATAGTATATAACCTGTTGCGCGGACCTTAAAAAAAATAAGGTAATTATCATGCGAGAGAGCGTAGCGACCGAACCTATATTTGATATTGAAATTTTTGCCTTCATAAACAGGTAAAATCTAGCCTGCTTCAAGCTTTCACAAGATTAAGCGTTTCCCATGGTTTATAGATTGAGCTTCTAGTGAGTTATTATGCAAGGGAGTGAAGCAACCGAAAGAGACAATTTTGCTCCTAGTTTTTGATATAGGGCCTATTACTTTTTATTCACACATGTATATGAAAATTTACCAAGTAAATCATCAGACAGTGCTTCTAAATTTTGTATTATATTCCATTATTCCGAGTGAGCACGGGACCGAGCGATAGAAAAGCATTGTTCTCATTTCAGTATTTAACTTTGCATTGAGGAACAATAATTATATCATCATATTTTCTAGTGTACATGCATATAAACTCTTTTCTTTTCTTTTTTGATAACTTTTTACAACATTGATCCCATCTCATTCTATAGATAAAGGCCCAAATTCACAAAAGAGGTTTGTCGACAAACCTAGGTTTATGTGCGTCATATGACGCGTTTCGATGCGTTTCAGACCAAGGTTCAGACAAACCTTGGTCTGAAACGCGTCAAAACGCCACATTATGACGCAAATAAGGCTAGGTTTGTCGACAAACCTCTTTTGTGAATTCGGGCCAATAGTTGCTTCCCGCGTTCGTCACAGACGTCAGGGTCATGGGAGGGAGTGGGAGGGGCTGGACCGCTGAAGGCGGACTTTTTTAAAGAACAAGTTTAAACAATAAATCACAATTCTCGAATATGTTTTTTGCTTATTGTTTCTGCTGTGTGGATATAAAAGTGTTTTCTTATTTCTATTTCTATATTCTAGAAAATACCCAAATGACGCAAAATCATTAATGCTTCCAAATGATAAACGCTCTGTAACACGTGACAAAGTCAGAGTCAATCACGTTGCCATACTGCTCTACTGATAATCATAATGTTCATAAGACACATTAGCGTCGAGAGAGAGAGAGATACAATGGTGGGGGGGGGGGGGCTAGGGGACGTCATGCCTCTAATTGAAACAAAAATCCCTAGAAGACATTTGTATAGGCTACTGTAAAATCTAAAGAGACTAATGATCATATGAGTGTTACTTTTTTTGTAAAAAAAATGAACATCTGTCGGCAAAAGTCAGAAATCAAATTGGAAGTCTCATGACCCCCCTTTTTTGAGCTAGGGAGGGGAAGGCGGGGTTCCTATACAATTCGGCTTGTTAGTAAATTTGGCTTGACATCTTTAAATCGGTCTGGCGAGGACCCTGAAGAGAACGTATAAGGCTTAGATTGCCTAAAATATAAAACTGTCAGAAGTCACCTCAATAGTCTCGGGCAGTGGCATAGCTTTATGGGGGCACGCAGTGGCCATCGTGCCCCCCCCCCCGCCTCATCGAATATCTACTGACGAAGAAAAAAGGAAAAGGACCAAAAGAGAGAAAAGGAAAGGTCGAAATTAGAAAGGAGAAGAGAGAGAGAAAAAAACAACATAGGACTTCCTCCTACATCATTCCTAATCAGAGGGGCATCAATTCAGTTGGTGAACATTCTTATCAAATTATTTAAAAGAGAACAACAAATATTGACAACGAATTAATAATAGTTTTTTGAAACAGTATCAATTAGAATCCCTTGCATAAATACCTTTATTGACACACCATACAGAAGAAAGATATATCTTGTGTCAAGAAATATGTATCATTCAAAGAAATGAGAAAAATGACATTACAAAAGTAAACGAATAACCCATCATACAGAAATACTTGATAATAAAATCTGACTCGGTGTCAATGACGTCTAATATACTTCATAAAACCATAATAATGTGCAATGTGTTTACATACAAGAGACGAAATGAAAGCAAAAAAGTATATAAATATCTAGAAATCATTACCTGAATGGGTCGTTAGGGTTGAAACAGCAAATATATTAGATTACCACTGGTTTGAAATTGTTTCTCAAATTTTGAATAATTTGTATAGAGTATGGCACATATGAAATACAGCTTACTTTTTACAATTCCATTTTCACATTCAAGCAAATATTATTATTCAAGCGCAAAGGTTATGCATATTTCAAAGTTCAAACTAGATGTGATTACACCATAATATTACACATTATCCACTAATGCTATATATTGGTCATTCTCAAAATAATAAATCTACCATAACATTCATCCTTCCCCTCAAAACCATTAAAAAAGTTTGAAGTGTGTCTTATCAAATCAATAATTATTGATGATTCATATTTTCAGTACACAAATACCCAGGAATGACAGCAGTTAAAAACAATCGCTGATGTACTTAAGATTGATAATACATTTTGTTTGTCTGTAACCAAATACCCAGCAACGATAGCAGTTAAAAAATAATCATGGATGATTTAAGCATCTCTGAAGAAAAAAAATGAAAGTAAAGACTATTTTACAAAAAACTAAAATTTGCCTGTAAAATGATGCAAACATAAACAATCTACTAACAAATAACAAAACAAAGCAAAGGCTAACTGAAAGATGGGATGTAAAATTTCCCTTTGGTAGATTTTGGAATGATTTGGATGGAAATACTAAGCGGAATGATATACAGTTATCATAGCTTGATAACGAGGAGGGTAAAAAGGAGCAAACTTGATACACGCACATGCTCAATCATTCCATATTTCTGTTTATTGTTTCAACATTATTCTAATTTATGGTTTCATCATACAGCCAAGGGTTAACAATAATATTAAAGCAAAAAAAATATATATATATTGAAAATGAAAAAAAAAAAATCATAACTTCACACCCTGCCACCACTTGCAATCCAAAACCATTACAAATAGAATATGATTAGAGTAACGTAATCCATAGTAAATATATCATATACTCATATAAAATGATTTCAAATTACCCAAAAAGACATCACCTGCAAATATTATACATCATATGTAATAAAGAATGATTAAATATCAAAATACCAAAATGTAAGGCATGTAAGGATAAATGGAGGGTTGTTTTCACACATTCAAATCATTAAAAACATACATGTAGCATTACAATAGATGAATTTGCCATAAGCACTTATGCATGCCCCAAAACATGCATCTTGTGGTATCGTTACAAAGTAGAAATATAGTACTTTGGGGAACATCCTGAAAGAGAGAACATAATTTTTTTTCTTTCTCACAGCCAATCACTGGATAAGGATGTGATTGAAAGTGTTTGCAAAATTTTACTGAAGGCATTTAGAGTTTGTTGTTGAAAAAATTACCTGAACTTTAATATAAGTAGAATAAATGTAATATCCTTTCATCTAATATCTGCACATGACGCAGCAAAGAAGACTCAACATCTAACAAAATTTATCATGTAGTAGAAAATAATTTAAATGTTTAGGGTTTTTAACATAAGATTGCTGCTTGGTAAAAAGAAACCCAACATATTTTCCCCTCATAAAACACAAAGCTCTAAATACAAAATTTCTTCTTATCACAATGTTACAGTACCAAAGAAACAAATGCTTTGAAAAGCTCAAAAAAATATATGGAATGACAGCGAAAGCACTATGTAATTAATCCAATCAATGAATCATATTCCACTTGAACTGTAGCGGTAGATCTACATGAATGAATACAAAATAAATAGACATGAATTGCTACTTCTCAAAAAGTACTGCTCTTTAAATAACTAATATGAGATCAAAGCTGACAAAATGTATTTCAATCAATTATCTAAATGACACCATGTACATGAGAGAATATAATATGTTCATTTAAGTTTTCCACCTGCAAAAGACTACTAGTACAAAGGCACTGAACTACAAACACATTTACTCTTCGCCTTTCAAAAAACTTCTTCAGACACAAAAATAATTTTTACACTTTTCTAACAATAATTTTTTACAAAAGTACTATCTAATGACTGTCAGAATGATCATTACACAAAAGTCTGTATAAACTTCCTCAATCGTGATATCATAAGAAGTGAAGTTCAGGCATATTGCTAAACAATTATACCATCATTAACACATTTATTTGCTGAGTCCACTAGACCACAGTGTTGGAATCTTTCCACTCCATTTCGTATCAAGGCATCTTGGATAGTACTACTAGTAATAACTAACTTTAAGTATATGAGTTATGCCATTCTGGCCCTCGATTCTCTTTAGAAGATTTGCATCTTGCTTGGAATATATACTACCTTTTTGCAATACAAAAAAATTGTTACAGATGCAACTAAAGACGAAAAAAAATTGCATCATTTGTTACTTAAATTCAATAGTATTGTTCTCGTCTAGTACTTTCAACCAAATTGAAGATGAACCAATGAAAAAGGCCATCTACACTAAGTTTGCAATAACAAATCCTGATCTCGGATAAGAATCTACATTTAAATGTCAAACTATTTGCAACATTATATACACACTCTATACATTTTATATAAATAAAACCACTGCAGAAGAACTCTCAGCAAGACAAAAGTGAACACCGGTACCTAAATGTTTACTTTCTATGCTATTTTGACAGTGAACATATTAGACATAATTTATTTAGAATAGTCTTTTCACACCATGATTTCATTTATCCTTTTAGTGACAAACGCAATTTTAACAACCAAATTCTAATATACCTCTGTCTATTTTGGGAGAAAAAAATGTTGTCTTTACAGGCTCATGACATATAAAGTTTGATATCATAGCACAAAGTAAATATAAACCATGATTAAGTACGTGTTGAATGAAATCTCATTTATGATATTTGTTTAATAACTTGTTTGCATCATAGCAATACTAATCTGGGTATTTACAGAGCAAAGAAACCATGCATGACACCGCTACTAGCTGATGCTGGTACCATAAGGCCTGAAAAAGAGGTTAAACGAAAGCTATTTGATGGCGTGCAATCAACAATTATACCCCCCCCCCCCCTCCGTGCAATTCTGCCTTCTGCACACTTTAACAAGGAGCTTATAACCATAAGTGCTGTGAAATTATATATCACTGAATACATACTCTATCCAAGTTTGGATTTAATTGCTTCAATGCTTTTCAAGTTATTGCAGTAAAAAGATATTCTTTGGTTGTTGTTAACACCTTCATGACCATCAGATCACATGACCTTTGACCTTTTCCGCCCAAAATATAATCAGCTTATCCTTGATACTAGTTTGGTTCAAATCCGCTCAATGGTTCTTGAGTTATCGCGGTAACGAAAAACGGAACGGATGGACAACTCTAAAACATAATGCATCTGGCACCACCTTCGGTAGCAGAGGCATAAAAACATTGAAATAATAAGGCTATGTACTTTTAGTCCCCATCAGTCACCACAGGAATGTGTAAAGTATGTGTGGAAAGACAATGGTTGTGGAAATAGATGGTGATACACTTATATGAGGGAGCCTAAGGAGAGAGTTAACACCTTAATGCAAGCCTCGACAAAACTTTTATACAGTAAAATAGAAGGCATCAACAGCACATCAAATATCACAATGTCCTACACACCTAGAGAGCTAAAACCATCAAAGTACTCTATGCACACAGTGAGTCGATATATACAGAAATTGTGAAAGACGATATTATTCTGTCCTGCGATACATGTTTGATATTGAATTCAGTAAAAAGGTTATTATATGAACGTCCAATGCCTTATGAGCCATCAGTTTGGCAATAAACACCAAGTACACTGCTGAACCTTACTCAACATGGACTCCACACCGACTGATTATTGGCCATTCAGGGCAATGTAATTTTTTGGTTAGGTTAGGTGTCACACCGGTGCTTGTCTTATGTTATAAGTGTCACTGGGATGCAACTTCCGAATAATCCTTGTGACAAGTTTATTGCAAAAAATATGATATAAAGTTACCGAATACAGAATAGTATGTCCCAACTGATGAACAAAGATGAAAGAACGACCTCTTCACGCACAAAGCTATAGTTAAAAGTACTTTTAAATGTGAAAGAACCTCACACAAAAATGGTTTCTCTGTACATAGTTTGTAAGGCAGCATTCTAATTTAAGTAGTACTAAGTAGATATTACTCAATTCATCTAATTCGTCATTTAAGCAGTGTGCCACATATTGATGCATGTTCATGTAAAGTGTTCAATACTTATATTTATCTAAAATAAATCTGCTCACAGCTGTCAAATGCAAGGATTTCAGAAGCTTAACAATTATTGGATCTTGTCATAAATAACAAGTTTGATAAAACGTGGCCCTGCGATTTTGCACATAAACAGGGAGCAATAATAAGATCAACACTGTATTATGTAAAGGGCCCTGACATGATTTCAGGAGATCGGGGATAACAAGACCGTCAATATGTATAGTTTCTTGCTACTTGACTTGTGACCTCTTGACATGTGACCTTTGACCCCAGATACAATATATATTGGTTTATCTCTAACATGAATCCTAGGTTATCGGTTGAAAAAAAATTGCAGTCAGACTTAATAACAGTGCTTACATAATAAATCAAAGACAAATAATTTTATATTTACAGAAATTATCTTTAGTCCAAATGATCTTATGTCAAAAGAAGATAAAATCAAACAAAAATCAAAGCACTCACTGTGCACTTGCAGACATCTCTAACACAAATCCTAGGTATATGAATTACAAATATTTTACAGACTTTAGCAGTGCTAGAATCAACATCAAGGCAGAAATTTTATATTTAACAAATTACTCAAAATAAAATCATATAAAATTTGAAGCACTGATGTGTGTAATAATATATTCCTGAAATTGCAAACATTAATATATTTGGTGGGTGTAATAATGCATCCTTGTGTAGGCGTGGGGTTTGAAGAAGGCAAATAATTGTTGTTGTATTTTACTCCATCTTTGATTTGTCAGTCAGTGGAGGTAATGGGTGCCTGGAGTACTTCACACCCAGCTCTTCACCGACTTCATCCATTATCTTTAAGGCCTGAAAAGATAAAGAAATGAGGGGGAAGAAAGAGAAATAATGAGAAGATATATATATACATTTTAAATGATCATAAAAGGGCAAAACGGCAATGAATCTGGACATCATCTTCATGACATCAGTTATCACCTTTGGAAATATCATATATTTGATTATACTACTTAACTTTAGTAGTACTTTAGTATAACATCATCTAAATTACCAGAACATAAGTGATATAACAAAATTTACTTTCTATAAAGAAATTGACTTTAAAAAAAAGCAAATTGTTTCTCAATCAAAATCATCATCAGCATTTATTTGGATATCATATTTGAAATAAACAAAGAGAGGTTGTAACATATTAAAGTGACTCGGTAACATTGTTGAAGGTTGATGAAAAAAATTGCTTAATTTTTGTATAAAATGTTACTTACTATATTCCTTCTACTATACTAACCCCCTGACATGCAAAAAATCCTGAACAAATTCTCAAACCACAAAGATATCTATGGTTTTCTTTGAAGGCGTCGATGTGAGGCACTCTCTAACAGTGATTAACGGTAAATTCTCCCAACCATTTTTGAATTTTCCCAACCGTTTTTCCATGAGAAAAATACATAAAACAGGCTATAAAAATCTGTCAACACTTAACTGTCTGGAATGGAATGTAGAGCCATTTTATTGCTTTGTGACGATTTACATTCACCTAAAATGTAATTAAATTGTCCTTGTCTTGATGCTGAACAGGCTTTGACAAGTAGCAGAATAAAAGTAGAATAATATAGTTGGGAGAATTAAGGAATCGATCTGATCAGTTTTTCCCAATTTGTAACATGAATAATGATCCGTTTTCACTCAAATTTTCAGATTATCTTTAATTGTACATCTAGCATTGAAGTCACTACCTTAGCACCACTATCTCTCATCTGAACAATGTTACAAAGTCCCTTTAAACTACAACACATGTTCAAATGACTTCATGAACACGTGGTAATCATTGTTTATCAATATAGAAAGTGAGCTGGCTCAGTGGTAGAGTAGTGACCTTGTAACTGGAAGGACCTGGGTTCAAAACCAAGCGGGGGCACCATTAATGCCCATAAATCCTCATAACCAAGTCTCTTGGAGAGGAAATAAAGCTATCAGGTCAAATAAGCTATCAAACCATCAAGAGTGAAAAATCAATAGTCAATCGAGTTTGACATACCTCATCTAGCATCTGTCTGGTATGTGCAGCCGAAAGGCAGATTCTTGCTCGGCCTTCAATGATGGGCGTGGCAGGGAAACCCACTATCACGACGGCAAGGCCTCGCTTGCGGCACTCCCTGGCAAAACACCTGCAAGTCAATACAAGGAGAGTATATTGAATGACAGGTGCCCTCACTAATGGCAGCTTAACATTTCAAATGTGAAATTAGGAGGGGATATGCAAATAACAGAGCTTTTTCCCCAACAAAAACGACATCAACGCACAAAGAAGCTTTATTGACATCAGTGCCATGTTTGGTCGCATAGGATATATCCATCCTATATATTATTTTAATACTGTTGGTTAGATCTGAGGGTAGACTATACGCTGTCATAACAAAATGAATATTGGAGATGTCCTTCAAGAATCACTTTGTTCTTTAGCATTGAAAAGCCTAACACAGTTTCTAACAGTACATCTTCTTTTCTTTTATCAAAAGCCTGTTATTAATAGAAATAAAAATATACTTTATATCACAATTGATTTTCTACATCCCTCTCCAGTAATATCAAGTAATTATTAATTGTTTATGTATACTTTGTCATGCTTTTAAGCTGAATACTCAGTTATCAAACAAGCCATTCACTGATGTATGTTTCCTTCTAGTCAACGAAACAAACCAGAGCAGACATGCTTTCTACTATAAAAGAGGCATAATTTTTGCAATACATATAATCATTTGAGAGGCGATTCTTACGTCATCTTTGCTGGAAGATACATGAGAACAGGTACGACAGGGGAATCATCATTGCCATACACAACAAAGCCCATCTCCCTCAAACGCCTCCTGAAGTATTGTGTGTTCCTCTTCAATGCCTCTACTCTATCTTGTCCTGTTTGGTAGAGGGAGTAAAGATGAACAAGAAGAAACAATAAAAACAGTTAGGTACAATTCACATAATACATACAAGTACATTGTAGCAATACAAGACCATTTCAGAGCAATACGCACTAATATCAAGCAGTTATAAAGAGGTATTATGTAGGAAGTATTTCAGTGCTATGGGCACCCCTAAAAATAACAGACCCAGGTACATACAGTGGGGAGTGTACCCACAGAAGACATCTTCAAGTCTGTTGAGAGTCAGAGGGGTATTGTATAAAAGAGTAACCATCCTTCTGTCTCTCTCAACAGATGTTTTACTGTCTCCTGTTCCAATGTATATTTCTTTACACATTATACATTTTAAGAGCTTTTTACATGATAAGTATGATATTGAAGTAAAGGTATTCTGAGAGGGGTTGTCACAAGCAAAACAAAATCAAATTTTGAAAGTTAAGTTATAAGCCTTGAAGTAACTGGTCAAATGAAACAAAGCCTGGAGCGATTGCTACCGGAGCAAGTGCTGGATCAGAGTTGTTGTTTGCCTTACCTACAGTGGTACCATCCCTTCCCATGATAGTCTTGAGTGTACTCAGGACCTGTTCTACCACCGGTGCACTGGTCGAGCTGGCATAGGTAGCACTGTGGGAGTTCACCCTGATGTAATCTACCAACTCCTGAAATCAAAAGGAATACAGCAGTACCGGTAAACAAATGAAAGAGTGTATTCCAATTATTTCAGAGCCTAACCATGCTCCCAACAACCTTAAAACAAAAGGCTTGAGTGATATAGCAACAAATATACAAAGTGGATTTGATACATTGAGATGATACTTTACATTACTGTACTGGTGATTTATATAATTTGCATCTTGAGGAATATAAATAAGCCTCCTCTGGCATGGAGCCATATCGAGCTATTATTACAAAAAATAGCCATGTAACAACAGACATATCTCTGAAAGACAGATAAAGATAATACCTTATTATCTTATGCTTTTGGAAATAAAAACATACTAAGATTTCACCACAATACTGTTCATCATTTGCATATGGTTTAGAAAATACTGAACTAGTGTAATAGTAAGCTAAATACATCAAATTATACAAAATCAAACCAATTTGAATTAGAAGTTAGAAAGTATCTGCTTTTATCTAACTTAATTTTTTTTTAAATCAGAAAGCAAAATGAAGTATACAGCCACTATATTGTGTTGCTACGACTGCATACTGACAGCACACAAGACTAACGTGTTGGTCTCGTGGGCTGTCGGTCTATCGGGATGTCCTTGTTGCTACCTGAGACCGAGTAAACTAACACTCCCACACTCAAATAAGCACATTAGCACAATGAAGAATCCAGATTGACATGGTAAAAAAGTTTTCCAATCACACCGAACATGAGGTCGAACAGAGGATGACAGCATGGAGTAACTGACCTTTGACCCGGCGATGTAACCTCCAGATCCGCCGAAACTCTTGGTGAATGTTCCCATCATGACGTCAACGTCCCGATAATCCAAACCAAAGTACTCCACCACCCCTCGGCCAGTGGGTCCCAGGGCTCCGATGCTGTGCGCCTCATCAAGGTATAGGTAACACTTGTACTTCTTCTTGATGGCGATCACCTCAGGTAACTTTACAATCGACCCTTCCATACTAGAAAAGAGAATAAAAATACACCATGTAGACCAAAGCACAATATGCAGTTAACACATTTTTATGGGTTTTGCTTGGGATGGTGAATCCAAAAAGCTGTTGAAGGAGGCTTGCAGTCAGGATCCTACCCCCTCCCCCCATTTAAAAACATTATTTTATCCATAGCTAAATTGTGTGATACTATGTAATCTATGCAAGAATGCAAGTGATGAATAGCACTGAGCTGTCAGTTCCAATTCATGGAACAGAAATATGGACAGGAAATAAGTGTAAAGAAAGTAAATCAAATTATTTACAGAAAAGAACGATCAAACAATCATGAAAATAATTTCAAACAACTACACAAAGAGGAAAGCCGTGAATCAGTTTGGAAGATAACCTAAATGACTTTGAGAAGGCATCAGCAGCGAGAATGCACAAGGACAGGAAAGAGTAGGAAAAAAAATAGCAATCATCTGTGATCCACAATTTGAAAACATTTATCCGACAGTTGTTTGATGAAGAAACCGAAAACCAACCTGTAAATTCCTTCAACGATGATAAGAATCTTCTTCCATGGCCTATGCGTCCTTGGTTGTCCCTCAGCAATGGCCATCTTCAATAACTTCTCTAAGCTCTCCATATCTGTCAATTGATGAATGAAACAATTCCACTTATTGGTTTTCATTGCAAAACTCATAAATGGTATTTCCATGATATAAAATAAATTTACAATAGAAATGATAATAATAATAATAATAGCTCACATTTATAATGCGCCTAATACTTTGTTTCTAGGCGCGGAACATATTCTTACCCTGGTCATCGGATTCAGGCTTACCCGCACACAAGGTATGCACATTCTCCACTTCCTGGGGAGCATTCCAGCCAGTCGCCATTTTACAAGCGCCATTGCTTATCAAACCACATTAGCTTTCGCATCCTACCGGTTGCCCATTTTAACACCTGGGTGGAGAGTGGCAAATGTAGATCAATGATGTACATTCACTACATAGGAACATGCCCACAAATTGGAATTAAAATGCCTTTGGTGATCGTTAGTTCCAAGTTAATAATGACATAATCATACCCATACTGAATGGTTAAAAGCTAATACACGATGGGTGCAGCATGACACAATAAAAGAAATATATTTGTTTCATTTCAAAATTTGTCAATGCTTTGAGTTTGTCATGATATTCTTTTTTTTAAGTAGGAAAACAATTAACCCTAAAATTGACACTGTTAATGCAAGTACATGGACTACATAGAGCTAATAAACCTGTAAAGCATCCGATTCTTCTAAAGAAGAGATTTCTGATTCCAAAATATGTAGCGATTCCAACTCCATGATAAATGTACCAACGGAGAGATTTCAAATGTAATCAAATTAGAAACTCAAGTGAGCAAAAAAAAAAAACAACACTAAAATGTTGCGATTCCAAAATGTGATTTGCCGTGAAAGGGCCATTATCAAAGACTCATAAAGCTTCTATGCCGTGAAAGAGTGTGATTTTACAGTGCAATGAACCGTCTTTAGGTACTTACTATTGTGTTCAAACACTTTGACAGTGGCACCTGATAGCCTTACTCCCAGAACCAGTGAGGCGTGATTCAGTCTGTCACTGACAATCAGGCAGCCCTAACAATACAGAACATGGGAACAAAGACACCAGTGAATAGACCATTTTCGTAATGTAATTAAGTTGAAGGCATAAATCTTTGTTAAGTGCCATGTTACAAATAAATTCAATAAGTGTATTTTCAATAGTCAGAATGTGAATTACATACATTAATTGTTGAAAGGAAGGACAAAGAGTATGGCTTTTCCTACCTATTTACCTGTTATTGATGCGAAAGAAGGACCTACTAAGTACGAAGCAGGCCTTTAAAACTAACAAAACACAAGGTGTTCAAATGTAAAATTTTTGCCCCAAAAGCATATTCTTGTGAAGAAAGAAAAAATCAATTAAATAAAAAAAAAAACATCTTTTTACTTTGTAACAAAAGGGAACTGTATGTTATCATTCGATAAAGTGAAATGTTGAGTTAGTACTATTTTATACTCATTTGAATCATTGATTTACATGTGTACAATAAATTGTGGGACCCTCTTAGCAAAATATGTATGTAAATCACATGTTACATACTCAAGTACTACAGAAAATCAACAATAGTTATTGTATTACCCTGCCCATAATACTTGGAATGTTGAGTGAGTTGGTAGCGAAACCCATGCCGAATGTGATAGCATCCTCTTGACCTAAGAACTCTGCTACAAGCTTCTCCAGTTCTACCGTGAGAGCAAGAGTACCTGAAAGCAAGAAGGTAGTACTATTTTAAAGAATTTGAATGCCATAAGGTCTTTTGCACTTTTTACTCTAACTGCAAGGTGCAGCTGAATGTGTAAGATCATTAATGTAAATTAAACAAACAGTAGAGGACCTAGGATAGAACCTTCTGCTACGCCATGTAATAGAAGAAAAATTGGAAGAATTATTATTATAAACTACATATTGAGATCTGTGAGATTTGTCACAAATAATAGTATGAAGTTATCACAAGAATGAATATTTAGTAACAATGAAGTTATTACAATAATGAATATTTAGTAATAATGAAGTTATCAGAATAATGAACATTTCAATCTTCATATCAGAACAATGAACATTTCAATCTTTATATCAGAACAATGCACATTTCAATCTTCATATCAGAACAATGAACATTTCAATCTTTATATCAGAACAATGCACATTTCAATCTTCATATCAGAATAATGAACATTTCAAGAACATTTCATTGCAGTGTTCATTATTCTGATAATTAGTTTTTAAAACTTAAGATGACAGGCAAATTTTCCTGTACATGTAAGTCCAAACAGAAATCTGGACATTCAGGTAGTGTTGTTCTAGTTTCCGAGTGGTATGACTGGGCTAGAGGACATCGCCAGGCACAGTGCCAGGTGGAGGGCATAAATCAAAACTTTTTTTTTTTGGTGTACCGTGTATAAACCGCACCCCGACTGATTTTTTTTTTTGGCGCCAAAAAGGTGCGGTTTATACACCGTTAATTACGGTACCCTAAATAACACTGAGTGGGGAGCCGGGGGGGGGGGGGGGGGGGATGGAATCCTCCTTTCTACATCAAATGTTTTCAAGTATAAGAGAGGAATGATATTAAGCTTTTAATAGCTTTCAATAAATTGAGGTCTATTGCAATATTTTGATGAGTTTTGGACTTTAGACTCCCAAATAGAGAATAGTCTGCACCAGCCCTTTACTCTAATACAGCATAAAAATCAAACTTCACAGGCTAGTGAACTTCCATTTTCTAACGTATTAATATATCTCATTCACTTTACCTATGCCAATCCTTTGAGCAGAAGTCAAGCACTTAACCAATTGAACTTAGGAAATAATTTGAAAAAAAGGTTACAATAGACGGTATTCATAACCATTCCATACAGGACACAATAGAATGAAATGAGAAATCATTTACCTAATTCTTGTCTGGAGCTACAAACTCCATTGCCGTAGTACTGTGTGCTAGCTACAACTGCATCTGATCGTGGGCCATGGTTTTCTGCAAACCCTAGATAATTGTATGAACCAATGTTGATCACCTTCCTTGTAGTACCGGTGAGCCTATCAGGCAAACAAAGTCAAAGAATTAAATTAGCAATGACAGAAATATTCATTTATTTACTCATGGTACAATACAAGACATGATAAGCAGTCAATGGCTGAATTGTTGACATTTTACAAGCAAATTATAAAAATACATAAAAATACAATATTGCAAATGGTAAAAACATACAAACACCGGATGGTAATAAGGGGTCATAGACAATTGTGATTCAAAATAGAGATTTAAAATAGAAATCAATACACAAAGCAGGAAGTACTCTGGATTTACATCATTGTTAGAAAAAAGTACCAGTATAATTTGTAATTCTGTTAGCTGGAGAGCAATTGATATAGTAATTGAAAAGTCTTTTATTTGATGTACTAAAAAAAATGACACAAGTTTCATGCTCTTTCTCAAGTCATGACTTTGAAAGATCAGTTATTTTGCACAAGTTACATAGGCAGATTATGGGATGATTGCCCAAAGAAATCAGTACCGGTAGCTGCCTTTAATGTTGTTTTTTAAGTAGAAAAGATAGATCAGAAAAAATATTTATGTTAGAATGGAAAGAGAGTAACATACTTGAATGACCAAAAATTATCATCGCTGTATCTTTCCAGCAGATCTGACTCTGCACCGGGCAAACCAGCAATGGGGACATTCCAGTTGTCTCGTACCTTTCGGTACATGTGACGAGTGAAGAAACTGTCAAAGTCTTGGTATAATGGAGTGAAAGCCTGGATAAAGACAAAGGAAAGATATCATTATCATACAGCTGGTGCTTAATTAATCATACACTGTGCAACATCACGCTCCATCATTGGTTGCTTGCATGCTCCATAGTTCTCAAGGTTACATTATCACAAGACCACTGGAGCGGCATTGGCGATTGTCTCATCTCTAAATCACTAATTGTTTGTAGTTGAGAGCCAAAGGCGGCGAAAATATCTAAATCAGCCAAGCAAGGAAGCAAAAAAAGATTCACATGAGGGAAATTTTCAACACTATTGACACTCATAAGTTATATAAAGGATGAATAGGTATTGCATGCATGGCAGGTCAAGAGCTCATCCAAAGGATGACAAAGATGTTCCTTGTGTAGATCCATTCAGTAATTTTTTCATTAACAAGGTCACTGGAATAATGAAAGCCCTAATTTTTTGAAATCTTACCTTAAGCTTTGGTGACTCTTGGGCAGCTTTATCCTTATCTATTCCCAGTCTCATCAGGATGTCCCGGCAATAACCCACTAAAGCTAGGATGATGTAACTCATGTATGTTACAAGGGCAGTCAATAGCTCTACCTCCTCGAAAGACTCAGAGAAGTCCTTCTTCCCAACCTGCAGAAAAATTAAAATGAAAAATTAAAGTTTTTTTTTGCATTAGTGTTCTTCAAATTTTGTGGAGAGTCAAAGAAAAAAATGAACAATTAAATTAAATCTTATCTGATATTTAGTAGGTTCTAATAAAAGCATAAAAAGGAGGGGAACGGATAAATCAAACTGAAATTAAGTAAGTTCCAAGTTCTCAAAGTTGCTATCAATGAAACACAAATTTGCATCTCTGTGATGTATCTTAAGAGGTTACCTTTCATCTGCTCTGTATTGAGAATTTTTTGATAATGGAATATAAATATTTTATAAACGATATACATAAAAACATATTCACAAAGATCTAGGGTGTCTAATGACTGAATATTTTCTTCAGAAAAAAAGAAGAAAATGTATAATTTCATAAGTACAGAGAAAATGGGGAAGAACCTTGATACATGTAGATATGTCACAGAATTGCCAATTTGTGTTTGAAACAATCAATTAAATCAATGTACTGTAAAGTGCTTTTTTTCTTCATTAAAGATCCTCAAGACCTCAACTTTGGGGTTGAGGTTTTTATTTGATGTCTTAAAAAGACAATGCTTGCAGCCTTTCAGAAGCTTTTAAACACATTATTAGTGAGTGACAAAGTAAAGCCCAATCCCTACTGTGGTTTCAATATTTTGGTAATAATTGCTCCAAAGCTGCTAGCTTTAAAGAATAAAAGTTTTAAAAAAATAAAATACAAAAGCATATTCTATGGCAGTATAATCTGGGCATGAAAAGAAACGACAGCTTTAAAAGATCTCTAAAACATTTTAGAGGAAATCAATAAGGTAATTCAAATTGGTATGCAAATTAGTGTATTTCTATCAATGTACTCCATGAATGTCTAATGAGTAGTTACCTCATTCAGAACAGGTGTTCATTCTCTTCAGATGCTATTATTATGATTTGGGTTGTGTGAGAAAGTGGTTAGAAAGAAACCAACTTAATACGGACAAGACATGCTTCATGATTTTTGGAACACCGCAGAAATTGCTGAACTTGCAATACACACCAATCGCAATAAAAGTTTCTAATGTACCAATCAAGCAAGTTCAAAGTGTAAAATATCTGGGAGTTTGTCTAGACCAGCACATAACGTGGCAGGATCATGTGAAATACACTTCAAATAAAATTGCCTCTAGGTTGGCCCTACTTCGTAGAGTCAGGAAATATCTCACAATTGATAGTGCCAAACTACTTGCCAATTCTCTTATCCTTCCTTACTATGACTATTGTAGTGTCTCATGGGGTACTTGTAATACAAGAACAAAAGATTAAGATCTTCATTAAGCAACACAAGCAGATGGCAAGAATTGTCTTGAAAATAAATACTTTGATTCCTACATCCGAAATGTTTAGTACCCTAAGATGGATTGAGATGGGAGTTCAATAAAAGTAAATTAATGTATGATGTTATGAATAATAGTGCCCCATCATACATGTATGTTCACCCTGTCCGCCCATACTCATAGATACTCAACAAGGAATGCTGACAATTTGGGAGTTATTATTCCAAGAATTAAAACAGAATGTGGAAAACGTGCCTTCTCAGTTGATGGTGCTCTTCAGTGGAATAGCCTACCCCACTCACTTCGAAATGCCCCGACCAAGAATACTTTTTGTTCTCTCTATTTTAAGCAGCGATGTTAAAGATAAATTTGCCTTTCTTTCTTTATTTCCTTCATGAATATTTACATAAATTTCTCAATATAATAATGTGTTAAAATCTAAACAGATCATTGATAATAATCAGAGTATATTGTTATCGATTTGAAATTGCTCATTGAAATTGCTCATTCTTACTACGGCTTTGTTTCATTATTCACTCTTATTCTTTACTCATTTTCTGATATATCATGTTACTATGTATTGATGTTTTCCATGATGTTTATATTGTTCAAGTAGTTTGTTTCTAATATATGTTGCATTTGTGTACAGGGCCCCCTGGAAAACAGTACTGCGATTACTGACGGGGCTACCCTGTTTAAATAAAACGGAATAAATAAATAAATAAATTATGAAATATTTTAAGTAAATCGCATGGACGCTCATTATCATCAGGAACACATGGAAGGTAAGCAAATTGCTTTCACTTCATTATCAATATTTCACATTTTGGGTTAAATTCTGGACATATTTCAAAGTGCTTTGTATGAGAAGAAAGGAGAGTCCACTAGCAAACTCCGAAGCCAGTGTGCAACATTTGTCTGGTGCGAGAATGGGTGATTACAAACACATTTTTAGATTTGTTAAACTTTGTTTACATCACTTTTCATGCAGGGGTATTGGCCGGTGGGCCTCAATAAAGGCTAGGTCAATAATAGGTGATATCAATATCTTATTTCAAATGATCACCTAGACCGAAAGCTTCAGTCTCTGATATCGACAGTTGTTCCGCTAAGATTACATCTGGCTCCGCTGGCCGCCTCTATACAAAGACTGAAGTACATGTATGTGGAAGGAATGGGTCCGTTCGGCCGGACCGAGATGAATGAGATGCTACAATTTTTTTCACTCTTTACATCTTCATATATCCACTTTGACTGCAATATTACACTCCATCTTATTGTACAAAATAGCTAAAAACAGAAATATGTACTTTGACTTACGAGAGCTTGCTCATTTAGCTCCTAAATTGATGTTAATTTAAGAAAAACTTGTTGTCAACATGATTATAAAGAATATTCATTAACAAATTTTCGAAAGTCCAATAGCTATGTACAACACCAGCCCAGGTGGCCCATTGATATTTTAATATTCATAAACCCAATATCAAACGAATACACCAGTTTACAGTTGTGTGCGCCATTTTAAACAAAGCTAATGACCTAGGAGTCATGTATTTATGCGTAAATTAAGATTGCGCCCATGCAAATAATGATGACATCACTGCCTGCGCGCTGCGTTGTGCGCGCACATCATCATTTGCATGGGCGCAATTTTAATTTACGCATAAATACCAGAGGTCAGAGGTTATTGGCCCCAATTTTGGGGCCAATGACCCGAGGTCAACTGTCTGCGCATGCGCACTGATACAACTGTAAACTGGTGTATTATCTTTTTTTTTAATTTAGGTTTTATTTCCACTGCATATAAAAGAATTTACAAAGTAATGCATATTATATACAAGGTAAAAAAACATGTACATATATTTGATACAACAGTAAAAATGATTTAATGGCAAGTCATTAAATAGTAATACAAATGATGCTAACAATAATCTGTAGTAATGAGGAGAAAACCTTGGAAACATTATGCTTGTAATTAAAGTTCCCTTTACATAATTGTTACATAGTCTAATATATAAAAGGAAACAAAAAACAAAACAAAAGAAGAACAAAACGGGTGTGTGGTGCAGTCAACCAACAAGTGTTGATAATACCGATTGTCTCCATCACGATGACCTTCTTAATCTTAAGCATTTTTATACTGAAGAAGAAGTTTATGTTTCAAGTGATATTTAAAAGTAATTAAATTGGGCAGCATCAGCTTTGTTTTGGTGAAATATTTTGGCTGGTCATGTCTTATATTATGTTCGAATACATATTAAATGAACGGTACAACTCACTGGTTCTACAATACAAATTGGATAATTTTTATACTATAAAGTAAGCCTGTAAATTTCGCCAACGGAATTTAAAAATGACAATTAGTCTAGATCTTATCTAGATTTAGACCCAGATCTAAAATCATGAAAATACCAGTTAGAGTAGGGTGTCTGATCGCGCACCCGATGTTGTGTGCTAAAATTCTTCCCATAGAGATTACACGCATCCCTATGCAGCCTACGTGCATTGCGCGACCATGCAAAAAAAGTCAATTTTTTTTTTTCAAATCGAGATTCAAACCTTAATCAGTTGTGATCCTGAAGGTGATAATCAATGAATGAGGTGTCATATGAAAGAGCAGGTGAATTCCAATATTTCCAAAGGGGCGTAGCCCCCGAAATTCTAAAACTATCTTGGTCAAAACAGCAATTTAAACATTGTGTCCTGGCTAACTCTGAGGTTTGTCACTTTTGAGATATGACGCCCCGATCGATAAGTAGTCCCAGTCCTAAGGAACAATTCTATGTGATTATATTTTCGCTAGCCCCCAGGGATCACAACTGATAACAGTTTAAAAATACCCTTCTCGCTATTTGGTGGATCAGCTAATTAGGAGGCGTGCGCTCCGCTCAGTCCAAACCATGGTTACATCGCGTAACATCTCCGCGCACGAACGAAACCCCAAATTCAATTACACATTATAGTGACTGAAATTATGGTTGGCAATTCCCTCGATAAACCCGGAAGTGAATACACGTTATAGTCAATGGCAATATCGCGGAGATTGTCTCCGCGATGTTGCCATTGACTATAACGTGCATTCACTTCCGGGTTTATTGTGCGACGAACGCCAACCATACTAGTCAATCGCACATGTCGCGGAGACAGCGTAGCTCAAGCTGCAAGTCGCGGATTGGCTTAGCAGCATGCGTACGATATGCATACGCTTGCATATCGCGCGATACAGCTGTTTGGCTAAATTTAGCAAAACAACATCACTCTGCGTAGACGTCTTTTTCGTCGATTTTGACCAAAATGATATGAATATACCAGCGTGTTGGAGGGGCTGTAACTTTTGATAGAAACATCGGTGAGACTTGAAATTTGAAATGTATTATTCTGATAACATTTTTTATTCAAATATCAAACAAAAATGGTGAAAAACGATCCCAAATTGAAAATTGAAAAATCGTTCAGACACCCTAGTTAGAGTCTACCACCGGTAAAGAAAGAAAAATGGGGGGAAAAGTTTTTGTTCCGAATGTGGTACAAAATCGCTAGTAAAAAGAAGTATTGTGCGAGCCGTAAGGGGTACCGTCTGTGTATGGGGAATGTTGACGAATTCTGTCAGTTTTATTAAAGAATGACCCATACCATTTATTTCTGTCTACCCGTAGTCCGTACCCACGCCCCACGACGCGACCCACAGCTCACACTCACAGGCATCGCCATGCAAGCGGCCCACTGGTCTGGCCTGAGCTTGCCGCAGCGCTGAGCCGTAGCAACAACTGACTGCTGGAGCTACACTACGGTACAATTAAATAACTACAATTGCAAACCTTGCTGGCCTTGGGATGCGCTGTTTCATCTGTCAGAACAGTTCCATTCGATTTATGATGTCCATTGGTATACGCTACTGATCCATTTTGTCTTAAGTCATGATTTCCTTTTCCAAAAGGAGTTCCATTCCTTCGATGGAGGGCCATTTTTTGTGGTCATCGGATGGTGAACGTTCGACCAAAACTGTATACAGTGCGCGCGCGTAATGTATGAAAAAAATAGCGCTGGATAGGCTTGTACAGCGTGCATTACAAAGCGGTGTCGTAGAGGTTAATGGGAATCGCAGAACGCACGGATAATACCTGCGCTATTAATCTACGCACACGCTCGTACGATATTAGATAAGTTAGTTTCATAACAGAGAGATTGGTTTCGGTTTGGTTTCACCAAGTAGTATAGTAAGCGGAAGAGCCGCATGTACTTTATGATGTAATGCTATTTTTATCCGGTCGGGTGGGGTTGACAAAGCTATGGGTAAACAAATAGACACCCTTTAGTCTGAATCAAAGACCCGGTGCTACTTTTTTTTTTATTCTGGTGACAACTCGCCTCTTCAACTTCAAGAATAGCTGTCTGAAAATGTTGCTACCTAGCTTTATAAGTAAATGTAAACAATTGAGTGCTTAAAATCCATTTATTCATTTATTCATTCAATTTTACTTGTTCACATTTATGTCAGAAAACTGTTTTGTAACCCCTATTTACCCTTGTTAATGATTCAGAAATGCTTTGTTGGAACATTGATGTAGTGGTGCAATACTCGACCCTCCTCGACCCCCACCCCCACCCACCGTTGGACCCAGAGACTCCTCAGCTACAGATCAAGTCTGTGAATTCAAAATATTACTTTATGTGTAAATATATACCACACATTCTGTAGAAATATGTTGTTTTATGAATAATCAAAGAAATAAGGACTTCACAACAGTTTAAGATAGTGATCAAGTTATTTATATTTTGAGTTTTACATATATTACATTGAAATATTAACATAAGATGTAAATACATCAAAGAAGCAATCAATTTACAATTTTTGTATAAGTAATATTTAATACATCCAAGTCAGCTTGTAACGTTTAGGATGTATTTAGAGAAATGTAGAATATACATCCATTATAGTGATCAATCCGAACCAGATAATTGGTCAGTATTCTTAAAATCTTTTTTGAGGCAACGTCTTTTGCATGTCGCCGTCACATATACAGATACAGAAAGGTAACAAAAATAATAACAATAATATCAATAACAAAAAATAACAAAACAAAATGAAACATCAGTGCACACTCTTTTGGGAGCAAATAAATACATCAACTCTTAATCAAGAAGTACATGTAGAATTGTGTTTTTTATCCCACATTTACAGTATAAGTCCAAATGATCGTATTCTCTCTTAAAGAAAAAAAGTTTAGATATTGAGCCATTTCTTCTCTATTCGTTATGAAGATAAAACAAAGGGATTCCAACATCAGAAAGACTGCTAGAACACTATTAGTGGTGCTATGCTTCAGAATAATACCAGGAGCATGCTATGCCATCGGCCATTCTTCAACAAATATTGTTCATATGAGCAGGCACATAGCCAGAGTTTGATGTTTGGGGGGGGGGGGGCACATACATGTAATCGATCAACATCCTGGGGAGGGGTCTAAAAAAAAGGTCAACCGATCCTGGAATTTTTTTTTTTTTTTTTTTTTTTTTTTTTTGGGGGGGGGGGGCACATGCCCCCCGTGGCTACGTGCCTGCATATGAAGACTAACAGGGAGACTAACATGGGTCTACAGTCTAACATCTATGATGGTATCTAAGACAACAGAAAGTTAATGTGATACTCTGCTTCAGAAAAAAGTTACAACTTAACAAAGCAAGAATCACCATATACAACAATTAAATTGAAATAAAGCACAAGTAGAACTGTTGGTAATACAACAAAAATGTGCTTGAACATGGATAATAGCTGTACCCTTAAATATTCCCAGTTATTTAAGTTGTAAGGATAATATTTAACAGGCAAGAAAGCATACATAATGTAAATATGATAGAGGCAATGTGAAATTACTTTTGGAACATATCACTTCCAAAATACATTACACTTTGTTTTCCTGCTTGCTTTTGATACACATACTAAATACTTGTAACAAAAACAAGAACTTGATTTTTATATAATGGAACAACGAAGAGCCAGCCATTTGAAAAGTATAATCACAAATATTTTAAGGAAACAAAATTTCATGCATTTTGATTAGCTTATATGGATCGATATGAGGCAAGCAATCTTAATTATCAGCTGAGTTTAGCTCACAAGGAATGATTACCACGTCCTACGATGATGCATATTTACATTTATGTACTTGCCATTGGCACAAAAAATACTTTTCAGGGGGTTATAGTGCTAAAGTACAAATGGAATAATATAAATCATAAGTATAGCCTTGCACATATATCACCTCTAAATATATAAAAAAAATTTTTTTATAGGGACTCCCATCAACATTTTTAACATAATTATTTATATATCAACAGGAACAAATTATGCAGGGCACTTACTTAAAGAGTGCTACAGGGGCTATTTCAGTGACGGATGGGGAATAGGGGGGGGGGGGGGGGGGACAACCACCATTAGGGCCCCTTGTATTTTTAGTGTTTCCATATACAGATGTGATTTTCAGATCAAAACCACAGCTTAAAATACACCCATGCGTGGGAAATATGTGTTTTTTTATGCTCCTGTAGTTATTTTCTTATTTGTTATTGTAAGATTTCAAAGTTGGTTACAACTCCTCATACCTACCTGACCTTAAGAGAGGAACAAAGCAAATATTTACTGGACACTTTAATATGGTAAAATAAAAGAGCCATAGAGAAAGAACTCAATATTTGCTTGCTTGAAGTCTAGTATTTTAAAAATGTGCAACTTAAAATAATTCAAATTAAAACTGAAACAATTCTCAAATGCAAAAACACCAGGGGCCACATTCTGCAAATGATGTTATATTTTATCTTTTAAGAAACACAATGTTATTTTTCATAACAAATTCAAATTGCACGGACCTAACACTTGCCATTGGTGCTAGCGTAGATGTCTCTTTTAACTGTACGCATACGCAGCCAGCTTAAACAGGCATTAACCAATCACTTGTCCTAATATTGATTTTTATGAAAATTAACATTGTTTTACTAACAGAATGCCACCCCTGCTTAAAAAATAAGCATCATACATTTCTTGACATTCAGTGGAATGTTAGACATTTTGTCATGGTGCTCACATCATCAATGGTTATAAAAACACAATATCTCAAGAATTAAGACTATAATCTAATGATGAATGCTTTGAAACAATTTACTTATGAACTAAATATCAAGATAATTGAAAATAATGGTTAAACTCTTATTTACAAATAGAATTTACTAACCGAAACTGGACATCCATATGACATAATCATTTTCATAATTCCACCTTCTTTGTTTGTAAAGTTTTCACACAAAGCAGTTAATAGGAAAAAAAATTTCATACAGACATCATCCCTATTTCTCTTCGTCTATATGAAGATTTCAATGACACAAGTTATGCATGTTATGAAATAGCATGTACAGTGGAATCTCATTAGAATAATCTCTGTGGGAGAAGGAAATTACAGTGTTATAGCAAAACATAAAAACAATAGGCTACAAAGAAGTGGGATCAGCAAAATTCCTTTGACGTGTCGTGGTCTAGTGGATATGTCATTGTGGTTCACATGGTTCACAGTTTGAGTTCTGCCATGGCACTAATCTATTTTTGCCACTCTCCACCCTGGTGTTAAATGGGTACCAGACTACCAGTAGGAATGAATTCCTTAAATGCTGTGAGCACTGAAATCGGTAGCCTAGCATACATGTACCTGTAGCTAGGGTAATATTGGAGTGCCTTAAGCATTGACCTGGCATGGTGGATATATATATATGTGCGCTGTAAAAATAACATTTTTTTTTTTTCATTATCATTTATATCACAGAGCTTTTTATAATGAGATTCCATTGTAGTTTTGAATGAGATAAAATGTCAATGATTTCACACACAGCTACACAAGCATAGAGATGGAAGCTTTTAGAAATACATTCATTAAAACCTACTCTCCCTATTTTCAATAATTTTCATATGTTCACTACAAAGTGATCTCCCTGTTACTTATACAGTGTACATATTAATACTTGTATTGCAAGTAATTCAGTTCTTGTAAGATAAGGCAATAATAGTATATCAATGCACAAATCATACATTTACCATAAAATTTAAAGGATAAGAATTTTAATATAAATAAATTATCTCTTTACTAGGCCTACTCTTTAGTTATGATGATATCACACATATGTGACTGTTACATCAACACAGAATACAATCTTAGATTTAAAAGATATCTTTTAAATTTAAAAAAAAGTTCAAGCACAGAATTGAGATATTGTGCAAAATTTGGAAATTCTATACGTATGTTACCATGGAAACATAGGAAGTACATGTACATGTACTTCCTGATTTCCAAATAAATTGTTTTATGCAGTCAATACTGTTCTATGCTAAGCATATGATTATATTCTGGAAATGATTATTAACAGGACACTTGATTTCTCAAAGGTGAGTCACAAGGAAGTGAAAATGAAATGCAATAGAGATACTTCCTGCTCCAAAGTGCTTTCATAATATACTAATATACTAATATAATCTGGAAAGTCTTGAAAATGACACAAATCAAAATGGGGCTTAAATTAAGGCTTGGAAATTGCTGATCAAAATGTTTACATTTAATCCTATCGTAATACTGAATAAAGAGATTGGCAGCTACTAACAATCAAATCAGGTGCCGACATTAAAAGCGAAATGAAGCTATCGGTCAACGTTCATATTGACTTCATCAGAGGTGGGAATGAAAAATCAACAACATTGAAACAATGTATTCACCATATTGTTAAACCAGGAACATTCCCATGCATTGTGATGTTGAAATTTACTAAGAAAGTTTCATACTTCAAAATTGTTGATTAACATCATGAGCAATGCTAAATTTTTCCAGTTTGCTAAAGTTCCTTGAGACGGAAATGGCTGTTCCTAACGGATCATGAAAATGTCACGTTGTGAAAGTTTCAGGTTTTCTTTACAGTATACAAAATGGTTCACCATAGGTCTTATATAGTCTGCAGGCAGAGAATCTTTTCTAGCTGGGCCTCGATCAGATTTGTAATCGTCAGATCAATATCGTGATCATAAAATGGCGCAAGAATCTATCTTACAGGGCCCATGTAGATTTTCCTGTACACCTGAGACAGCTCAGGCCCAGAATCATATATAACAAGGGTTTGCACCTGCAAACTACTTCATGGGATATTATGAATAAATCTGAACGAACTACCCATCATGAATACTTTCAGATATCCATGTCTATTAAGATGCGTACATTGCATTTAAAGACGAGATTGATATTAGCTTGGATACATGCGAGCAGTCAGATTGAGGCATTTTGCCTAGAACCTGCTCAATTTTACTAAAAGTCTGTGTAATAAGACTATAAATATGATTACCAATCTGTCATTTGTGTCACCTGTCCTCCAGCACTCTATGTCTATAACCCATTGACTACCAAATTCTTCTACTCCTTTATGCTCTCATGCAGGAGCCAACCAGTTCCGATAGCCAGTGGGTTAAACAGGTGATTACACATCCAGATATTCATTGATCATGATATCCTCCTCCTGTCCTTCATTGGCAAAATTACGCATGAACAATGCAGAAATGATTCTACTCCAATATCTCGCGTTGAAAGCGTTTTTATTTTTTTAATTCAATTTCTTCGCTACAAATCCAAGGCACTGGCTGCAACAGAACAGCAGCATATGTCCGTCCTGGAAGAGAACGCGGCTGCCGATCATCAAGCCACGAAGACGACGAAGACAATGAAGAAAACGATGAGGACTAGAAATACTTTGATCATCAGCCACCTGTTGGACGTGACCGACTGGAAATACTTCAAGAGTTCTCCATGGGCAGCCTCTACATTGGCCACTGTGTCATCAACATTGCCATCAATCCTGCACAGGAATGACAAAAATAGAAAATGGAGAATATGTGTTAATGTAGGCTGATGGGTAATGAATAATAATACATTTAGATGAAACCACACATTTAACAAACAACATTAGGGTACATTTACATGAATATGTTCATGCATTCATATTCTACCACATTAACCATACACTTTTCATGACCCTATCTACAGCTACTAAATTGCTAAAACTGAAGAGGAGTAATCAGTGACTAGGATTTGATCTCAGACCACTTTGTGCATCCTACTCTTGAAAGTGTTAAGATGAAAAGTAAATGCTTGAGTGTAAGGTCCTACATGTACATGTACAGTCCTCTCTCTTTGGTTCACTAGATAATTGAAGATTGGATTATTCATGGGTACACGCCTATTCACTTAACAAGAAATGCAGCTGCTAAAATCAATTGGTAATCATTATATTATCTGGTTTATTTCATCCTATAAACTTCTAATATCTTCTTTTAACATACATTTTGTTGTTCTTTATCTCAAGTTATAATGATAGGAAAGTTCAAGGTCAAGGAAAGCATCCAATCTAAAAATAACTGACTGACCTTTGAACTTGCTCCTCCTGCTCTTTGACCATATGTGCAAGCTGTTGGAAGATACCACTCAGCTCTACGATGGTGCTCTCAATGTTGTGCATGGTCTCTTCTCGGTTCTTGATGTAGTTATCTTGCTGCTCCACCATCTGCATGGACTGCTGCCCTCTATGTCTGGGTCCGCCGTCTAAGCCGCCCATGTCGATGGTCATGTGTCCGTTTGACTGCTGCTCATCCAGTACTGAACCTGACAATGAGTATGAAAGAGAAAGGTGACAACTAGCAGGATGTTTCAGTAATATTGGAGAAGGAGCAAATCTTATGTTGTATGTGTACACTATGGATTAAACTTTTTGATGTAAATCATCGAAGATGATAATACTTTTTGTTACCATGCCTTAGTAACAGGAATAAACGTAAATGTGAGGTCTTTAAAACAGTTCACAATGGGGAGGGGGAGGCATAAAATATACTGAACTTTAGATATCAACAAGTCTGTGGCAGAATCTGTATGAATGATTTTTTATTTGCAGTAAGCATTGCAATATGAAGCCATATAGCACCAAAATACTGCTTTGAATTATCATAAAACAAGAGTTTTATCACAACAATAGCTCACGGGACCATATTCTGAAAATGATGTTATCTTTTATGTTAAGGAAGCAATGAAACACAAAAGATAACATCAATTTCAGAATACTGGCTAGGATTTTACAATTTTTATCATAAATTAAATTGTTACAAAACTCACTTGATCGGGCCGATGATGGCGTCTGACTTGATGAAAATTGTTCTCTTCTTGATTTTTGCTCCTTCAAATTCTGCAGAGAAAGAAACAAATTTTAACAGAAGGATGATCACAAGAAAAACTCCAAAGCCATAGGGGAATCAGTTAAACAACATTTTCCTCTGCATTATTTCGTCTTACCAAAAAATTGTGTTTCAGATATTTTAAGATATGGGTGGAATAAGGAACGCCCATTAACAAAAGTCAAATTAGTTGATGAGATAGGAGCATAAGAAATATGATATAAAAAAGTTGATTAAAAAAGAAGAGAAATAACATGCCCCGTAGCTATAGAAGGTTACTTATTACTATCCCTTACAACAGCTAGAGAAATTCAGTACCTAGGGTTTTTGAAAGACAATATTGACAATTTCTGGCATACAGCACAATTTGTAACATTTCCAATGATGAAAACAATAAAGGAAAATCTATTGTTTACTGATCTTCATCACTTCATTAATTTCTAAAACTCTACAAATTTTGTCATAGTTGAAAGGCAAAATATACGTAATGTTTTGTTCACAGATGAAGATTTTTTATAGAAGCTCTCATTCCTAATCGTTTCTATTTTGTCAATACTCGATACAGTTATTATTTTAGCAAAATATTTTATATTTACTTATAAAATGCAAAACATTATTCTACTATTTTGTTCTTTTTTTACGGGCTCTTAAACATTTAGAAAATATGGAACGTATAATTGCTTACAAGAAAAATTGTCTCTATCTTCATAACAAGAAATGGCAGGTATTTTGTTAAAGTGATTCTGTTGATGAGTTAACTACAGTGTACTAAATAACTAATACATTGTATTTTACTATATATTCTATATTTCTACAAACATGTTACTATTATGTAAGCAAATTGCTTTTTAACTTGACAACTTTGGCAGATAAAATTCAGATTCAAAGTTTCACTCACTAAAACTAAGCCTGAAATCCATATCCAACAGAAATTGCGTATGACTGAAGTAACTTTACAACAATTCCTGTAAATATTCCTATAAATAGTTGATCCACTTTACCTGAGTTCTAACTTCTAGAACATTTTTGAATGAATTTGACATGTTGGCTAGTCTTGACTGAAGGGACAGAACAACTGTGTTTGAATGTGACTTCATGTGACGGCCATTTTGTGAGCTTCCTTTTACATGCTGAAAGAAGAAACACCAAAACAAAAGAAAACATTTAATTAACATCAAGATACACAAATTAGATTATTTTTTTCTAATAATATAGGATACAACATTACAGTTTTATATCAACTAAATAAGAATCATTGCAGAAATGTGACTTTCGTATCAATGTGCATCTCTTTTTATCTCAATGATATACCGATAATTTATATAATTTACATTTAACACTCCAACCTGGTTTCTTCACATCGATTAAAATCATCTCCTTATGCAGATGCATAGTACTATTACCAATGAAAGCCTTGAAATGATTCTCAAGTTATTTGTGATAGACAAGACCTGTTAAGGACAAACAGACAAAATCCTGAAGATCTTATGCCTTTAGCACAAGTTTGCTACGTTTGCTTGGTGAGGCATGGAAATGAATATGCATTTCTGGAAAGACACACTCATGTTACATGTTCTTGATTCAAAAATCTTGACACAATAAGAATGATATTAGAATGTTCTTTCTTCTCACCTGTTGTAACTGGCTAATTTGTTTATTGAGACTGTTGATGTCCTGCTTGATGATATATGTGAGTTCTTGAATCTCTACTGATTTATCATCAAATAAAGATTTCCTTTTTGCCACTGATTGAAAGAAACAAAACAAAATAATGATTAATCATATTTCATTCGAAAAAAGGATTTGTTTTGAAGGTGCAGTTTTCCTTTTGATATCTTAATAGGGTTTCTGGCCTGTGGTTAAACAGCTATATATATGTTATGGTAACCACAACATTTCTATCATTATGGTGCATGCTCAAAAATAAGGACTTTTAGATTCGCACGAAAACAATAGGTCTATGCTACGATCGACGTCCTTTTAATGCACTGCCTTGAATGGACGTCACACGTAACAGTCCACGCAAATCTAAAAGTCCCTAATGACATGACCAGTGCACACTTCTGTGAACATATATCAGCTTGTGCACAACTAGCATTGCAATTCAAATCAATTAAGCATTTTCAGTTTTAAGCTTTTTACAAAGAGATAACTTTTTCTTCTTGCAAATGAATACATTTTATTCTAGAAGTTCATTCTTCCCAGTTGAGACCCTCATAACTGCTTCTCAAAATGATATTTCTTATATTTTGTTTATATAAAGTTGTAAATATTAACAACAAAGGGCTATGGCATCAATGTTAGGTAAATCTAAATATGAAGAAAAGTGAAAAGCATCTACTCACATAATGTTAACTTTTCCAGTTTTGAGAACGTATTGCTGAGATCCTTGCCAATTTTTCTATAATGGAAATAGGAACAAGATAATAAGTAAATCAATTTCAGTTTTAAAGATGAAGTCGAGTTCTAGTCATGCGATTGCATCGTGAAAGAAACGGTGTGGAATCGACCAGAAAAGGTTGATCATCTAGCATATAAGAATTTGTGTGTATTGCAAGGTTTTGGAATCATCAAAATGATAAGAAATTTGGCCAAGTCTTGGTAAAGTTACAAACACTGTACACAGAAAGATGTATATGGGACTGCACAAACATGTGGCGTAAAAATCCTACCCCTGAGTTTTACGATGTTACATGACATATTTAGAATATGAAGGCATTTGAAGAGCCATGCTTTTCAGGGAACATGTCTTATCTGATGTTCTTCCACATTTGCATACATGTAATAGGAATGAAAACGCTCACAAATTATTTTTCACCTCTTCCCAGAACTCAACCTTCTCTTTAATGTAATGATTATAAACAAGTAATCGTAGCATCGTGTTTCAGGTAAACAAGAGAAGAAAAGAAACAGCAATGAAGACAGAAGAGAAGAAATTATGTATATATGCGCAGTACATGACACATGTAAATGTACATTGACAGTTGTTGCAAGAAAAAAGTAAAAAGAGAGAGAAAATTAAATGAAGGACCACGAGACAAAAAAGAAATCAACTTGATCCTTTTAATATCACATTAATTATGTCACTTCACAATAAAAAAATTAGCAATTTCTCATGTTCCTGAATAACAATCTCAGATACTGTCCACAAACTTGTAACAAAATATGTCATAGTATTAAACTTACTTTGCAATTCTCATGAAATCTGTGTATTGTTGTGGCTTTCCATTCAGTTTGTTGGCTGCCACTCCATTGCCCTGTAAAATAGAATATGTTCATTTTTTTTCTTGTAATTTTTTGAATCTCTTTTGGACATGTACACGATGTCCTAAATCACTTATATTAATTACATGTATTACATATATAATAAAGCGTATAGTATGGATAATTCAATAACATAACGACTTGGCAGAGAAAATTATTCTCAAATAAAACAGCTTGCAATCTCAAGGTTGAAAACCTAAATTTAAGATTAAAGCATATACCAGGATCACCTTCATCTAGAGATTATGCAAGCTGAACACTACTGAAATTGCCATGTTGCAGTAACTTTGCTGATAATACCTGATTAATTGATTGATTTTTATTCGACAAGCTTCCAACATACAACAATATACAATAATAACAGATCAAAAAAAAAAGTCAGCTTGAACAGGATAACCCACGAAAGCTCGAGAGCTTATTTCCAGTGGGGTCCCTTACAGACATGTATAAAATTAATAAGTTAAAATAGTAATATTTACAGACAGATAAGAAAATTAAAAGAACTACTTATTAAAGATAATAATAACAACATTTAAACTGATGATAGAAATGATATTAAGTACAAGAAGAAAAAGAAGAAGGAGAAGAAGAAAAAGAGGAGAAGGAAGAAGAGGAAAATAATGATGAATTTGTAGAAATTCTATAACGTACGAAAACATAAGTATATACAACATGAAAAAGTATGAACCGACAGAAGAATAAAAATTTCAATCATATAACATGTCATTCACTTCTCTTCTCTGACTGTCAAGTATTAGGTATTCCTTTAATTTCCTCTTAAAATGATCATAGTTTCCTATTTCTTTTACACCATTGGGAAGGGAATTCCAATGTTTTATGGCATTGTAATAAAACGAATTTCCAATACTACCTACTCTTTCAGGTAAGTTAAAGTTGAATCGTCTATTTCTTGTATTATAATCATGTACGTCAGTAACAAGATCGAAGTTGGATCGAATATAATGATTCGACCTAGTATGGTATATTTTATGCACATGATGCAATACGAGTTGTTTTGATCTTTGGTCGACTTCAAGAAAACCAGCTTTAGAAAGTTCGCTGTAGCCAACATGAGTTCTTGGACCAGAACAGTTGATAAATCTCACCATTTTGTTCTGTATAATCTTCAACTTCTTTTGATCTGACTTGTTTATGTTACTATACCATGCAGGGTTAGCATAGTCAAATAAACATTGAATAAGAGCAAAACAGAGTGTACGTCTTGCTTTTAAATCCATACAACTTTGATATCTGTACAAAAATTTCAGACGAGAATTTGCTTTTTTTACAACTGATTCTACTAAAGATGAAAATGAAATTGCGCTAGCCAACTCAATGCCTAAATACTTCACAGACTCTTTTCTCTTGATTGCTTGATTATTGTGTGTCACTTTGAATTCAAATGACTTTTTAGAACTACTTTTAGAACAAAATAAAATGCTTTCTGTTTTTCCCAAGTGTAAAGAAAGCTTATTATCAGTCATCCAACCTACACATCATACTCAACATACATGTAGATATAAAGAAATAACAATAAACAAGTATAAAATATAGCAACAAGGACAATTTCAATTTTTTTTTATCTACTCTTTGTGGACTTTGAAATCATAGAATTTCAAAGTCATTTTCACAAGAAATGTTAACAATTAAAATGAGTCAATGACCACCATATATTATTTCAAATGTATACCATCTGCTCTGAGCTACAAGGAAATCAACTCACTGTGCAATGACCTTATGGCTTAAAGCAACAATACAAAGCTTTAGTAAAAACCAACATAGCATTAAAGCCAATCATGTTGGTATTTTGAAAAATATTCTTATACTTTACTTTACTTTAATACACAATGTTGTAGGTCTTATAGCCTGTTCATCGATCCAGGATTCTTCCATGGTTACTGCTATTTGTATGCTTTTGTTATGCATCAATTTTCCCTTTACCGATAGTTCCTCAAGAACCTGGATTAATTTCAAAAAGAAATTCTCTACTAGATGCAACAATTACCTGTCTTGACTGCATGGACTTGATCGTGGAGAGAAACTCCTGGGTGCGGTCTCGGCAAGTCATGTCGCCGGTGTCCACTCCTCCTCCTGCTGTGGAAAGAGTCTCTGGGGGATGTGAGTAGTGACCGTCCAACCGCTGCGCTGCTGGTGGTACCCACTTCTACTGGTAGACCTGCTTTGACCGCTGCTGCTGTCTTCAGTTGAAGGGTGTCGATGCCTATTGTACATTGGTGGTGTCTGGCATTGCCAAGATCTGGGGGGAAACAATGCAAAATTTGAGGAAATAATGAATAACAGTAATTACAATACTATGGTTAAGCAGTACGTCAACCCAAGAACCTTTTCACAGGCTCTCAAAGAGTATTTTATTACGCTGGATCCGTTTTTCGCATTGCCAGCGCGCGGATTGGGAACCCTACACCCGTAAGGCACCGAAGAAATAAAATGTCCGCACCTTATTTTTTAGGTTACAATTTGTCTGCAATTACTAGGATGTCCTTGTTTATGCGGACGACTCTTACCAAGATGCCAAGTTCAAAGATAAGCTAGTATGCGTGACATTACAGGGTATAGCGTACGTTTCGAAATCGAGCACATGCGCGCGTCATGCGTGAGAGCGTTTTCAGACCCTCGAATGTGTGACGTCACGCATAATGCGTGACACTTGGTAGCTCTGCCCTTATTCTCGGACAAGGCAAGCGCCCCTACTGTGTAAACGCTCGATGACAGTGACACTGACAGTCCATGTTTAAATTTTCAGAATTAATTAGATCTAGACCATGAATTTGATAATAGATTTCTATTAAGAACTTATTATATAGTCTACTGTACACATCATAGTTAGTCAATTCATGATATTTCGTACACAGTCTATAGTATTAGGCACAACATAATCCCATGGCATTGGCATAAGGAAAAGTCAAATTGAGCATTCATGAATCAAAAATAGTGACAACGGTCTTACTTTTTCAGGTTTATGTGAATCCTTCAAACGACTTCTTTATTAATTCTGAAGCAGACAAATGCAGGTGTTTGACAAATTACACGGCAATAACTTTGTCAGCATGTAGAGTAGATGTAACTGTTAATGTTATAATCTAAAATGCAAACATCTTGAAATAGATGCAGTGTTGAGTGTATAAAGTTTACCGGTGCTGCGATGTGTACTGTACAGTTGTCAATTTACAATATGCACTCCGATCCGAGTCCGAGTGGTTGACGTAGCAATCTTCGAGTGTATCATGGGATAGTCTCTTATAAAACCAAGCCGTCCTCAAGCAAACTCTCTCTGTCTGTTCTCACAGGAACGACTTTTTTACCTTCCAATATCAATGTAGCACTTTGTAGCAGGGTATTGGAGAATGCAATCATACATAGACTAGGTATATAAATTATCATTAGCGTTGTATACAATCAAATAATTTAGTTACTAAAACAAAAATCAAGGCAATTTCAATAGTGAAAAAGCATGATGTAGACAAAACAGAAATAACCGTCTGATATGGGTCATTTCTTTAATAAAACTGACATTTGCAGTCAGAGGAGCCAGATGCAATCTCGATCAGCGGAATAACCGTCGATATCAGAGACTGAAGCTTTCGGTCTAGATGTAGGCCTAGAGTTCTAGACCATATATTACAAAACATAATTTCTATGCGACATAAAATAGTGTATTGAATTTTAAAATTCTTGGAGGAGGGAGTTGCAGCCTCCTATGATTTTCACTGTAAACACATTTTTCATCGTAAAAATAAGCAGATTTTTATCCTTCTATATTCTGTATATTCCTACATTGTTTGATTATCTAAAAGGATGCCAGAGGAAAAATGTCTTCATAGAATTGTTGTAATCTTGTTTGAAATTCTAAATGAATTATAAAAAGCCTAGTGAAAAAAACATAAACAATTCATTTCCATTGTGGCACATTAATCTTTTGGGGACGATTTTTTTGGCTACGATAAATCCTAGGACGAATTGTCCTGGATCTTGATATAGGCTCGACCAAACTCTTTCCATGACCTCTATTGCGAAAGTGATCTAGCCGTGCATAGGCCATCCCATGCGATTGTGTGTAAACAAACAGTGGTTCGCGACGGAGCATTCGTTGCATAAAACCAACCCTACGGACTAGGCGAGATTGAAATTGGGTTCCCGATAAACTCTTCAATTCCCGCAGTGCTCGACGCGACTCCTCGACAGACGACAGCATTGCACTGGAAAGTACTTGGAATATCTGCACTTCTAATTTGCCAAAATGCCACCAACACTTTCACAAGGACAGGGTCATGGAGAAATAAATGGAGGTAGACTAATTGATTGTCCGAGTAAAGAAGAAGAAGAAGAAATCTAATTTTATTATTTTTAAACTTAGTTTAAGAAATTGTTAAATCTTGACCCACTTTGAAAGAAGATGAGCAATTTTTAATAAGAACCCCCCCCCCAAAAAAAAGGGGCTAAGCTGTCATCTAATGCTATGTCTACGTCTAGTTGTCAATTGTGTCAATTGTGTCATATTATGTCAGAAATAATTTGGATGATTATAAAATAACTTCTTAGAAATCAGACCTTTTTGAGTTTTGTCATAAATAATAATAACGTTTACTTTCTTACTAGGTCTAGCTAGACTCTATAACTTTGTTTATACCCCTTATCAAATTATAAGAATAACAACAACATAGACTATTCGCTGTAATATCTCAGAATTAAAGATTCTCTGATGTAAATAATTGTTTTTTTCGATGATATCACTTGTGTGTAAAGAAATGTCCAGTGTTTGTATAAATTCAAGAGTTGGAACTTCGACTAGGATAACAAATTTATTACTTGAACCTAATTTATCAGCTTGTCAAAACAGTCTGTGTAAACTTCGTATACAGTAGTTACCTTTGATATGCAGCCACCTAGATGTCAGAAAACTCGGAAGGGGCTTCATCTAAATCTCAGCGAGTTGAACATTCATTTCTTTTCCTTTTCTTTTGACGCATAAATACATGTATGCTGCATGCTATTGTTATTTGCTGTACTGTACTACTGTTACAGTAATGTTTGCAATCAGGGCTCAAATCAATTTTTTGTCCACGGGGGCTCTTCCCCCCCAAAAAGAGCCCCCGTGAGCCTTCTCACGGGGGCTATTTTAGTACTGATGGGGGCTCTTTTTTATACAAATATCCATTGAATTGGTACCTATGATACTCCTCAATTATTTGCTATTTCATCATTATCATTTCAATCAGCATTTTCCCTCTTACAAATTTACAAGCTACATCGCTGTTACTGGCCTGTGTATATAATATGTACGCATACAACACTGATCTTTATGATGTCTTTAACGTGACATATCTTCTTCTCCCCTTGCAAACGAGAAAGAAAACAAGGTCATTAAAAGGGATTAAGCGACAAATAATGATTGTGATTCAAATTGATGCAAATATTTGTTTGAATAAGCACTGCTATTCACCCGAATCTTCTTTGTAAAAACAACTTTTACAAATCTCAGCCATGCTTACTGAGTTGAGACTTGAGACGTTCCATTCAATGTAAAATACTCATTAAAGAATACACTTCTCCTAATCTGAAAGTGATCTTACAACACAGTGGCAGATTTGTTTTTACAAAGAAGATTCTGGTGAAAACTGAAAAGCATTACTTATTCCAAAAAAAATCCTTGCATCAATTTGAATCACAATGATTATTTGTCACATGATCCTTTTATTAAATAACCTTGTAATAACCTTGTAAGAAATCATAAAGATCATTTGTATTATGCGTATATACATATGATACCAGAACAAATGTTGATTATCAGAATGCCATTTTTGAATACCTCTATACAAATACCACATTGTCTTTAGCCCGTATCAGTATTAGTATGATCCAATATAAACCCATAGGAAAGTGAAAAGTATGCCGCAGACCTGCCGCAGACCTGCCGCAGATCTGCCGCAGACCTGCCGCAGACTTTTAGTCTGCGGCAAAGAGTATGCCGAAGTATGCGGCAGAAAGAAATTTTGCTGCAGACTTGCCGCATACCAGTATGCCACAGGAACAGTCTGCGGCAGATCTGCGGCAGGATGAAATTTTGCTGCAGACTTGCCGCATACTAGTATGCCACAGGAACAGTCTGCGGCAGATCTGCGGCAGGATGAAACTTTGCTCCAGACTTGCCGCATACTAGTATGCCACAGGAACAGTCTGCGGCAGATCTGCAGCAGGATGAAATTTTGCTGCAGACTTGCCGCATACTAGTATGCTACAGGAACAGTCTGCGGCAGATCTGCGGCAGGATGAAACTTTGCTTCAGACTTGCCGCATACTAGTATGCCACAGGAACAGTCTGCGGCAGATCTGCGGCAGGGCGAAACTTTGCTCCAGACTTGCCGCATACCAGTACGCCACAGGAACAGTCTGCGGCAGGTCTGCCACAGGAAATCCCATTAAAGTCTAATAGGGCCAATTGAAACCAATCATCTCATGCATATTCATTATTACTTTACACGTGTGACAGAAAAATACATTTATCATGATTTGTTAAGCAAATTAAGACAATGCACATCATTTTTGTGATTTCTATTTTTTCTTTTGCCATTATTAAGCAATAGATATATTGATTACTAACCAAGAAACTATGATTACTAACCAAGAAACAATATACATATTTAGTATATATATGTGTACGAGCCTGTGTCACTTTAAATGTTACTCTTAAATACACTTCAAATGATCAATGTGATGAAGTTAATACAATTGAGAATAGAATATACCTAATCGGTAATATCGATATATTGGTATTACCTAACTGGTAATATAGATATTGCCAATATCGATTATGAAGTATCAATCAGTTTATCACTGGTTCTTCTACATGCATACTTTATTGCCACTTACTGGATATGAAAGAGTATGCGGCAGGTCTGCAGCAGGTCTATATGAGATATGAATATTCATGACGAAGAGTCTGCGGCAGGTCTGCAGCAAGTCTGCGGCAGACCTGCCGCAGACTCTTCATCATACTGAAAGAGTATGCGGCAAGTCTGCAGCAAGTCTGCGGCAGACCTGCCGCAGACTCTTCATCATACTGAAAGAGTATGCAGCAAGTCTGCGGCAGACCTGCCGCAGACTCTTCATCATACTGAAAGAGTATGCGGCAGGTCTGCAGTAAGTCTGCGGCAGACCTGCCACAGACTCTTCATCATACTGAAAGAGTATGCGGCAAGTCTGCAGCAAGTCTGCGGCAGACCTGCCGCAGACTCTTCGTCATACTAAAAGAGTATGCGGGAAGTCTGCGGCAAGTCTGCGGCAAAACTAATTTGCATGTGAAAAAGATGACTGTCTGCGGCAGGTCTGCTGCAGATCTGCGGCAAGTCTGCCGCAGGAGTATGCGGCAGGCTCATTTCTTTCCTATGGGAAGCTATTATTCTTTATTTAATTCAGTATAATGCTTTTCCTCAAAAATAGTTATGTTATTTTTTTAGGGTTGAGACGCTAAGAAATGGTTTCAAATGTACATTACACGAACCCTGAACCATTGCAAAATGATGGTGGTTCTCTCTCTCTCTCTCTTTATTTTAATCATGCATTATCAACTACATATACAGCAGCAACCAAAAACTTAGGGTTATCTGAGATAGGTGAAAGTAAGAGTTAAAAAGAAAGTCATGCGCTTCACTCCCCCCCCCCCCCCTGAAAAAAATAAAATACATGTAGATTAGTAGTCCTCCTCTCCAGCATCTCCCCTCCCCCCCCCCCTGCTTTAATATCACATTTTCACTTGGCAGTCTTGCATATAAAGCAGCAACCAAAAACTTAGGGTTATCTGAGATAGGTGAAAGTAAGAGTTAAAAAGAAAGTCATGCGCTTCACTCCCCCCCCCCCCTGAAAAAAATAAAATACATGTAGATTAGTAGTCCTCCTCTCCAGCATCTCCCCTCCCCCCCCCCCCTGCTTTAATATCACATTTTCACTTGGCAGTCTTGCATATAAAGCAGCAACCAAAAACTTAGGGTTATCTGAGATAGGTGAAAGTAAGAGTTAAAAAGAAAGTCATGCGCTTCACTCCCCCCCCCCCTGAAAAAATAAAATACATGTAGATTAGTAGTCCTCCTCTCCAGCATCTCCCCTCCCCCCCCCCCCCTGCTTTAATATCACATTTTCACTTGGCAGTCTTGCATATAAAGCAGCAACCAAAAACTTAGGGTTATCTGAGATAGGTGAAAGTAAGAGTTAAAAAGAAAGTCATGCGCTTCACTCCCCCCCCCCTGAAAAAAATAAAATACATGTAGATTAGTAGTCCTCCTCTCCAGCATCTCCCCTCCCCCCCCCCCCTGCTTTAATATCACATTTTCACTTGGCAGTCTTGCATATAAAGCAGCAACCAAAAACTTAGGGTTATCTGAGATAGGTGAAAGTAAGAGTTAAAAAGAAAGTCATGCGCTTCACTCCCCCCCCCCCCCTGAAAAAAATAAAATACATGTAGATTAGTAGTCCTCCTCTCCAGCATCTCCCCTCCCCCCCCCCTGCTTTAATATCACATTTTCACTTGGCAGTCTTGCATATAAAGCAGCAACCAAAAACTTAGGGTTATCTGAGATAGGTGAAAGTAAGAGTTAAAAAGAAAGTCATGCGCTTCACTCCCCCCCCCCCTGAAAAAAATAAAATACATGTAGATTAGTAGTCCTCCTCTCCAGCATCTCCCCTCCCCCCCCCCCCCTGCTTTAATATCACATTTTCACTTGGCAGTCTTGCATATAAAGCAGCAACCAAAAACTTAGGGTTATCTGAGATAGGTGAGAGTAAGAGTTAAAAAGAAAGTCATGCGCTTCACTCCCCCCCCCCCTGAAAAAAATAAAATACATGTAGATTAGTAGTCCTCCTCTCCAGCATCTCCCCTCCCCCCCCCCCCCCCTGCTTTAATATCACATTTTCACTTGGCAGTCTTGCATATAAAGCAGCAACCAAAAACTTAGGGTTATCTGAGATAGGTGAAAGTAAGAGTTAAAAAGAAAGTCATGCGCTTCACTCCCCCCCCCCCTGAAAAAAATAAAATACATGTAGATTAGTAGTCCTCCTCTCCAGCATCTCCCCTCCCCCCCCCCTGCTTTAATATCACATTTTCACTTGGCAGTCTTGCATATAAAGCAGCAACCAAAAACTTAGGGTTATCTGAGATAGGTGAAAGTAAGAGTTAAAAAGAAAGTCATGCGCTTCACTCCCCCCCCCCTGAAAAAAATAAAATACATGTAGATTAGTAGTCCTCCTCTCCAGCATCTCCCCTCCCCCCCCCCTGCTTTAATATCACATTTTCACTTGGCAGTCTTGCATATAAAGCAGCAACCAAAAACTTAGGGTTATCTGAGATAGGTGAAAGTAAGAGTTAAAAAGAAAGTCATGCGCTTCACTCCCCCACATTTTCACTTGGCAGTCCAAGGGGCCGGGGGTGGGAGGAGGGGTTAAACCCCCTAACCCCCCCCCCCCCCCCCCCCCCCGTAGATCTGCCCATGTTACCATATCATTCCACGACATCTTGGTCTTCCTCTTCTTCTCAATAGGGACTTTTAGATTTGCGTGGACGTGGACGTGTTACGTCCTTTTAAGGCACTGGCAGTCACATGTGACGTCCTTTTAAGCACTGGCACTGCCTTAAAAGGAGGTCACACGTTGCAGTCCACGTTCTCATCGTGCAAATCTAAAAGTCCCTAATATTGATTTACTGGTCGAGGTTCATTATTTGCTGGTCATTTGAAATCACCAGATTTCAGCGGGTTAACGCTTTCACAACGAAAAACTTCTCCATGACCATGTTTCTGCCCTTGCGCGATCGCCTCCAGCTCCAGCAGACATGGCACGGCAGCGTGCAAAGGTACCGCTACTAACGGCGCAGTAGGCCTATAACCACTGCTGACGGCGGCACTGCACTGCGAGCTGAATCGGTAATAATTAGGCCTACTCATAAAACGAGAAATCTTGCACGCTAATCTAAGTTCCATTTCATTGGTTTAAGGTTTGAAAATTGAAACTCAATATTGTGTTAAAGTTATAACAGAAAAGATAATCTTTATTTTATAATTCCAAGGGGGGCGATTTTTAATTTTGCAATCGCCCCCGTGAGCAACCTGACGGGGGCGATTATGTAGCTCACGGGGGCAAATCGCCCACTGCCCCCGTGTATTTTGAGCGCTGTTTGCAATGTATTGAAGACTGATGTACAGTATCTTTACAAGTGCAAAGTGGGTATATGGATTCCCATTCTCTGTTTAAGTGTCCACTCCATGGTTAATTTTGACTTGATAATGACTTACAACCTATGAATATCTCCTTCTTTCACTTAGTCTTTGCAGAGATAACTGCAGCTCTGAAGGAGCGCATCATGATATTTGATGGTGCTATGGGATCCATGATTCAAGGCTATAAGTTTGACGAGAAGGCTTTCCGCGGGGAAGAGTTTCGTGATCATCCCAAGGACCTGAGAGGAAACAACGACCTTCTGACCTTCACTCAACCTGATGCAATCTATGCAATCCACAAGGTAGAACTCAATCTAGGTACCGTTAGTAGGGGAGGGAGAGAGGGGAGAGATGAGCTTTCAAAGGGATTATAGTGTTGAATATATTTCCTTCATTATAAAAAACTGTTTATTCTGTTATTCTGCATGCACAAACTCCCTACAAATGTATAACTTATTAATACATTTGTAGGGTATTTTAACTATTTTGTGAATACAGAATGTTGTCTTTAAGTTACATTCATCTCTTCTGATATAATAATAATAATACTAATAATAATAATACTAATAGTGGGTTCTTGGATGGCACTCATGTCTGTCAGACTTGACAAAGATAAAGATAAGGAGATGTTTTGGGTTAGTGTTTTGGTTATGTATAATTTTGGGTCTAGGGTTGAACTTCTGAATGCAACTAGATAGTGTAAGAAAGTGACCATGGAGCAATTCTTGCTGGAGCATGTGTCTTCCCTTTTCTAAGAAGTTATATTATTCTAACAACATAGAAAGTAATAAAAGTAACAATAATTAATTATGGAAAACTGTAAAGGAAAAAAAGACAAGAAAAATACAGAAAGTAATAAATGTTTCTTAATTAATGAACAACAAATAACGGATCCAATTAAAATTTCAAAAGCTTTTAATGAGTATTATATAGATGTAGGCCCTAATTTAGCAGCTAATATTGATTCCGATGACATGGACTACAATAAGTCCTTGAATTTCCCACGTGAAAATTCCTTATTTCTTACTCCAACCAATGATTATGAAATTATTAATGTAGTTCAACACCTTTAATTCTACAAAATCTAGTGGCCATGATAGTACAATATCACATATTGCATTTTACATTAAAATCATACATAAAAAGACATCAAAAGCATGACATTGAAATGAGAAATAATTACATTAAAACATAGAGCCGGTGAAAAATTGGTAACACATAACATGATATCCACACAATACACAAATATACATAGTATAAAGGCCTCAAAATTTTCAACATAACGTTAGTAGACACTACACAATACCCCGATCCCTGCACCCCCCCCCCCCCCCCCGCCCCCTTGAGACTCATCCCAAGCCGGTGCATGCCCAGAGAGACATAGATAGAGAAACAGGGACAGTGAGAAAAAACTAGAGACAAAGTTCAAGTTCGTGTTCAAATTCAATTTTATTGATCATGCACAATGACACGGCATACAAATCATTTTTCGACTGTTACTCAATTTATATAACATCAATTAACATACATGTACATGTACTATCAATTTATACAAAATACAAAATCAGGAATAAATACAACACACAATAGAACATAGTACAGAATGGTGTAGGCTTTGGTACAGAAACATAATGACACAACTAAGTTATAACCGTAAACATACCAGAGATCACTACTGCTGATATCAGTACTGGTATATGGTTAAATAGGCAGATTAACAGTGTAAAATAAATGTGCAGGACGTCCATATATCCTTAATTACTGATTCTGCAAATAATAATTCTGCAAAGAAGAGAGAGAGAGGGAGAGGTCGAAGGGAAGGAGACAGTGGCAGGGAAGAAACCCCAACCCACAGTTCGGGAAATAATTGCACATTTACATTCACTGGCTAATTTGGCTATATTTTAAAATGTGAAGATAGAGGTGTGAGCTATTCCAAGTAAAAACAATTACATTCAATAATTTAGCTTTTTTTTTAAAAAAACGTACATACTGCAATGGGAACTCATTTTAATAATATTAATAAGACACAGGAAAGTACAGACCTACCGGGTTTAAGACATGGATATTGCACATACAGTAGTGAGGACAGGTTTTTGGTCATTCATTCATGCATGTCAAGGAGATACAAAAGACCAGATTCGCAACGTATTCAAACCGAATGCACAGATCCCCGTGAGGCGCCAGGACACGAATGACTCCACCCACCTGCCAAGAGTGACCACACCCTGAAAGACAGAGCGCGAATTGCACACACTAGCCACTGCCAGGCTGGGCAAGCTATAAAGTTTGCCAAACCTAGCAACAACCAATGTGCGCTACCCACACCCCGCCCACCGAAACACAATCACTCCGAAATGGAATGAAAGAATTTGAATAATGATTTGTCCTGCATTTTGCAGACTGAAGTCGCTTGCCTGATCTCATCCAGCAGAAACATGGATGAAGGGGGTGTTAGGAATCCTTTTATGATATTCTTAACTTTCTTAAGAACACGGACAAAGCAGATATCATCAAGACTGAAATTTTCACCAACTATTTTACCTGCTTGGTTCAACAACCTTTGAATTTTTGTTTGGTCGCACTTTCTTAAACTACAATACCAAGAGAGGCAGCCATAAAGGATGGAACTCTCGATGACTGCGGTGTAGAAGAGTTTTAGAATGGTCTTATCAACATGGAAAGATTGGAGTTTCCTCAGGAAGTGAAGTCTTCCATGACCTTTTTTCAAAACATGTTTACTCTGTTCTTCCCTATTTAGCTTCTCATCAATTACTACACCAAGATACTTATGTTTTGGAAAAATTTCAATGACTAAATTTTGGAGGATAACTGGACTTATAAGTTATGGCAACATTTTGCCTTTTCCTATGATCGAATACAATTTCCTTTGTTTTCTCTTCATTGAGTACTAAATAGTTAGAATGAGGTGACCCAGGGCTCGTTGACATCGGTCGCGAGAGAACACCATTAACCGACACCTGTTGGGTCTGTTCACGAGGAAATCACCAATCCAATGAACTAGTGTGGGGTCAAAACCAAGATCCCTAAGCTTTCCAATCAGCTTTGCTGCAATCATGGTATTGAATGCTGATGAGAAATCGGCAAATGTAGCGCAAATGTTTGTATCGTAGTTGTCCGTATGACGTTGAATAAAGTTGAATAAAATTCAGTATGACCAAAACTGAACTCTCTATATATCAAAACTCAACTATCCCTTTAGCCAGCTGTTAACAATTATCTCTTGATACTGTAAGTTGCTATCGTTTACAATTGAACAGTATTTATTTTTTAAAGTGAAATCAAATCTGCTCATTCAAATATGAAGTTTAAATGCTTATGTTTATTTGTAGGCATACTTGGATGCTGGTGCTGACTTTATTGAAACAAACACCTTCAGTGGAACATCAATAGCACAATCAGATTATGGCCTGGAACATGTGGTGAGAAAAAAAAATCAGAATTGACATAAATTATAATGGAGATGATAATGGTGATGATGATGATGATGATGATGATTGATGGTGATGATGATGATCTAGATGATGAAGATAGTTGATGGTGCTGCTGTTGCTGATTACAACATTAAAATTTTGTAATGAACAGGCATACAAATATGAATGGCAAGTTTCTTGGCAGGTTTTGTGAGTTATAGAATATTTTAATGAGAGAACAAAAATATGTATTTTTTCAAAACCTAAAAGATTCATGTAGAATATTGCCAAAGTAGACTTCAAAAAATGTAATAATTAACTGATATCTTCAACAAATATATCACAATTTACTCTCCTACTTTATGTCTAGGTATATCGCCTGAACAAGCAGGCAGCTGAGCTTGCCAAGAAGGCGGTGAATGCATCAATGGCAGAGACAGGTGTTAGACGCTATGTAGCTGGTGCTATAGGTCCAACCAACAGAACCCTCTCCATCTCACCATCAGTAGAAAGACCTGACTTCAGAAATATCAGTGAGGATACAATGTATTCTTTTCAGGCCCTGTTATGTATATTTATCAATTTATTTATGGTTTTATTTAAGCAGGGTTTCTTCAGTTAAAGAGAAGGTTAAGTTCTGAGAAGAAGGGAAAAATACTTTGTGAGCATTATCATTGTTATTATGCAAGTGTGGAAGAACATCAGATAAAAAGATGTTCCCTGAAAAGCATGGCTCTTCAAATGCCTTAATAAACTGAATATGGCACGTAACAGCATAAAAATCGGGACAGATTTTTATGACACACGTTCGTGTAGTCCCATATACACCTTTCTGTATATTTACTGTTTTATTTAAGCAGGGTTGCTTCTTCAGTTAAAGAGAAGGTTAAGTTCTGGGAAGAAGTGAAAAATATTTTGTGAGCATTCACTATGAATAGGACGGACAAAGAAAGCGGACAAAATATACAGTTCCTCAGGTAGACAAAGGAATATCCCTTCACTGCTATTATGTAAAAAGGTGAATATGCATGTGACACCTGTTCTACACATTTTTACATAATAGCAGTGAAGGGATGTTCCTTTGTCTACCTGAGGAACTGTATATTTTGTCCGCTTTCTTTGTCAGTCATGTTCATAGTGATTATCATTGTTATTATGCAAGTGTGGAAAACATCAGATAAAAAATGTTCCCTTAAAAGTATTGCTCTTCAAATGCCCTAATAAACTAAATATGGCACATAACAGCATAACAATCGGGACAGATTTTTACGCCACACGTTCGTGTAGTCCCATATACATGTGGGACATGTTTCTGTATGTTTACTGTTTATTTACAGTTTTATTTAAGCAAGGTTGCTTCTTCAGTTAAAAAGAAGGTTAAGTTCCAAAGTCCAAACTGTACCCAAACTGGGCCAAATTTTTTATCATTTTGATGATTCCAGAACCTTGCAGTACACACCAATACTTATATGCTAAATGATCAACCTTTTCTGAACGATTCCACACTGTTTCTTTCACAATACAATCGCATGACCAGAACTCAACTTTATCTTTAACAAACTGCTATCCCTGAGGGTCCTTGTTTATAACCCTTCAAATACTGAGCCTGGGATCAATTGGTCTGGCGTCTATAGAATCTTCTTTCTTCTTCTAAAATTGAATAAGTTTTAGCAAGTTAATAACTATAGCCATATTTCTATAAGAAATTGCCACAAATCTATGAGAAATTTGCTCCCAAATCAATTGTTGTAACCTGTTATAAAGAACAAGTTTTTTTATGAAACGGGGCAAGTTTTATGAAACAACCTTTTAATGAATGTAGAGAATCAGTTTGAAAAATATCTTTGGTCCACAGGAGAGTTTAATTTTTCCATTGAAAAAAAAAAATCCAATAGCCATGTACAATTGATTCGAATCTATCGTTTTATCAAAGAGGTTTTTTAGCGTCATTGGTCAATTGCCTCTAACTTCCTTATTTAGTAATTTTAAAAGGGGGTTTGATCAAAAATGTGTGAAAGCATATTTCAATACCATATTTAAAAAAAAAACAATCATTCATGTTCTAATCCTTTTTCTCTTAGCATTTGATGAGATGGTTGCTTCATATGAAGAGCAAACCAGAGGGCTTCTTGATGGAGGAGCTGATGTTCTCCTAGTAGAGACCATCTTTGATACCCTCAATGCCAGGGCAGCTCTCTATGCTATTCAGAATCTCTTTGAGAAGGATTATGAAAAAGTACCTGTGTTTGTAAGTATATAAAGAAAATATGGAAGATTATTGATGTTAATATGAAACAATATGTGATATGTTGACAGCAAAACTATTTAATATATGAATAAATTTGCTTCATAAATTTATGGCTTCGCATAGGACGTCATGTTGCCCATGTCGTGTTGAGAAACTGTACATTATCTAATGGCTCTCTCTTGTACACTTTGATGGGAAATCTTGTTGATTAATGGGCAAGAATATGATTAGTCTCTTAGAATAACTCAAGTTATTTCTTGGGGTAAGGTTTCCTTGAACATGTCTTTGTTGCTACATTAAATATCACTTTTATACAAAGTTTGTTTTCTTCTTCCCTGAGCTCTTATGCCAATTTCTACAGAAAGACTTTGTAATACTATTTTATGGTGTATACTTTATATACGCTTTTTCAGTAGAGGCAGAAACAAATTATCCACTGTCTCCTTGTTATTTAGGCATTGCCAGTTTAAATAAATCTTTTAGTTCCATTGTGAAAATTATTGGGAACTACACCCCATCCTTTTCACGCCTGTGCTCACATAACCATTTTCGCCTAGAACAATATCAATGATGACTTCTCTTTAAACTTTTAGTAAATCATTTTTTTAATTTTTTTTTTTTTTTTTTGGGGGGGGAGGATCTTTCTATGTAGGTGCTACTTACAGCTTTCTAAATTCCCTACATTTAATGTGGATTTGTTAATCAAGGTATATACATGGTTTCTTGCAGATATCTGGGACCATAGTGGACAAGAGTGGACGCACGTTGTCTGGTCAGATGGGCGAAGCGTTCGTCGTCAGTGTCTCTCATGTGAACCCCATGTGTCTAGGATTAAATTGCGCCCTCGGGGCCAATGAGATGAGGCCGTTCATAGAAGCCATCGGTCTAGCAACACCTTCATATGTCATATGCTATCCTAATGCAGGTGTGTAGCATGATTATATGCTCAAATGTTCTCTCATATCTCACACACTCCTCCCCTTCTCACTTTGGAAGTATACACATGATATTTCTATGGTTTTGGTGTAAGTTTACTGGATGTACCGCTCCATGTCTAAGTGTTGAATATAGACTTTTTCTTCTCCAGACCAGTCACAGAAAGTGATTGGAGTAATTAGAGGTTCTTCCAGAAATAATGCAAAATTAAAAAAGGAATGATACTGTGGAGAGAGAGTGAGAGAGAGAGAAAGAAAAAAAAAACACTAATCACTTTGATTATGAATAGTCTTGAATATAAAATATGAAAAGAATTTGTTTTACAGAAACATAAAATATAAAAATAAAGTAGTTGAATCAAAATCTAATTTTGAAATTACATGTATGTACTTGAATGTAATTTTTCAATCACATAAATTGTCAAAATGCACATGAAGCTGCAAACTGTTGATCAAGTACTGCCAGGAGATTGACAGCTCATTGGTAGCCTACAAGAGAAAGTGGTCCAGCATGTCTTGTAAAATGTCTGTCTTTAAAATAGGAATAGAATATAAAAACAGACTACAGGTATATCAAGTTTTAAAAAACCCATGAAGTTAATGAAAATAAACAAGTAAGAAACGTTTAAGTCTAATACCGGCAGATGGAATTTAGTCAGATCCCAATGATTGCTACTGCCCATTATAACATTTCAATGGTACACATAAAAGTATTTCCCAAGTATTTCCCTGTATTAACCAGAATTGCCCACCCGGGAGGGAAACTGCCAACCTTGCTAGACATTGTTTGCTTTTAAAACCACAAAATGCTTATATTTTATTGTTGATAGATAGGAAACAGTCACTTGTGTAATTGTAACTTATACATATTTCACCTTGACCCCAGGTCTACCCAACACATTTGGTGGCTATGACGAGACGCCTGAAATGACCGCTGACCAGCTTGGTTCCTTTGCTCGTGATGGACTGGTCAACATTGTTGGAGGTTGCTGTGGGACTACACCCGCTCACATCAAGGCGATCGCAGACACTGTTAGGCAGTATAAACCAAGGATTCCCCCTACAGAGGTCCACCCAAATTCAATGATGCTTTCAGGTGAGTTGGTTGGTTTATGGTTGTTGATGATTATTTGGGAAAGTGGGTTATATAAATTTCATTGTCGAATGAACCAGTGGTATACGGATTGATTTTGGTATACACACATTTCCATTGTTAAATATACATAGGCCTACATTTTCCATAAAACTTTGTATTCAGTGGCTTAATTTATCTTTTTGTGGCATGTTTAGAGTTATTTTTTCCATCTTAACATACATTCTCTTAAAGAATTTTATACAAAATATATATAATGACTGAAATAGCATCATGGACAGTTTGTTTACATTCAGTGTAAATGTTATTTTGTGCAAATTTCTATGAAACAATGCAGGCCGTTGATTATAGGTATTCTACACATCAATAGTTCCAAGAATGCTTGCTTTACTTTAATTTTGTGATTATGCTCTGATAATGTCTTCTTAACCGACTGAATTCTTAATAATTTCATGTAGTCTGTACAGATTTGCGAAACAAATGTTATGAAGAAAACAGTATGTCTAATGTTATGTTTTTTTATATTTCATAATTCATAAACCATGGAAAGGATTGGAGCCAATGGTTGTCAGCAAACACACCTTGTTTGTAAACATTGGAGAGCGTTGTAACGTCAGTGGTTCCAAGCGGTTTGCCAAGCTGATCAAGCAGAACAAATATGATGTAAGTCAAACCTGGTTTTAAAGGGGAAAAAGGGGGTAACATCCAATCAAATAAATTGAAATGACAGGTTTTGGGAGTTGTGATGATCATAGAGTACTTTTATATTCCATTATGTCATTCCGAAAATAAATCATAATTTTTCTGCCATTTGCCCTTCTGGCTATTCTTAACTTCATTCTGATTGATGGGCAAGAGGTTTGAAAAAATGAAAATAATCTCTTTTGAATATGTGTTGACTCAAGAAAGCATATCGCTTCATCAAATCAAACACATTGTCTCATCTATCAGTGTTCAAATTTGCTCGTATTGCTGATGTGATGTCAATTGTGGAAACAAAAAATGACTGTACAGTATAACAGTATGTAAAATGGGGGTTTATTTTTGACCGCACTAATAATCATGTCCTACACATTTGATTTCATTTGAATAAGAATTGGCACCACCAAGACATCATACATCTCTCTTGTGTAATACCCTTTGATTATAGGAAGCTCTGAATGTAGCTAAAGACCAGGTAGCAGCTGGTGCCCAGGTCCTGGATATCAACATGGATGAAGGCATGCTGGATGGAGTCCAGGCTATGACCAAGTTTGTCAACCTCATCACATCAGAGCCAGACATCTGCAAGGTGAATTGATATTGATTGGATGGTATCGTTAGTGGGTACATGCTTTGAGGATGTTCTGCAGTAATGTCTGTGCTCATGTGGGGATTCCCCTTAAATGTAGTTGTTAGGCAGCTGTAATTCTAACCTGCTTGATGGGAGCAACACAGCCGCTATCACACTTATTCAACAGTGAAGACAGAGACCACATCGCAATTAAAAATTCTGCACTTCGCATCTTTGTATCTTATAACACTTATACTGCGGCATATATGAACAAGCCTTAGAAGTGGCTTCATTCGTCACTATACATGTACAATTTGAAATTAAAGAAAGTGATATTGCAACAAGTGGAATGAAAATATATCAGTGTTTTCTTTTATTAAAAGCTGTCTCATTGATTTCATCTATCTATCCAGGTGCCTCTGTGTATCGACTCCTCAAAGTTCCACGTGATAGAGGCTGGCTTGAAGTGCAACCAGGGAAAGTGCATCGTCAACAGCATCAGTCTTAAAGAAGGTGAAGAAGACTTCCTGGCGAAGGCTCAAGTCATCAAGAAACATGGAGCTGCGGTGGTTGTCATGGCATTTGATGAGACGGGACAGGTAAGTCAACAGCACTGTTATATAGCAGTTGAAAATGAGTGTTACAGGGTGTAAATTGCTGTAATAGCTCTTCTTTCAACTTTGAACTGTCTGGCACTTCAAACTGTGAGAGTGCTTTGTGAGATGAAGAAGGCCATTTACCCTAGAGTTAGTTTTTATAATTTCAGACATCGTAGGTCATAGAATTGCACATTTTGTTCTCTAACTTAATATTATATATACTGTAATGATTAATGGCAATGTCCAATAATTGTCATCTTCTAGTCAGACATCGACATTCATGAATTACAAAAATAGAAGAAATCAAAACTTATATGGCAGCTAGTGAATTATTGAGACAAATACTTGCTTTGTCTACTGAAGAGGAATAAGATCTTCCTACATGTTCATATTGTGAATATATTGCTTTTTTTTGGGGGGGGGGTGGGGTTGTGATTTCTAAAGATGAATCGATGTACACCAACAGCATGCTTTTAACTAGAATTCCTTAAACATCTTTTCCTCTTTTCATTCTAGGCCGTGGAGGTTGACAGGAAGATTGAGATCTGCTCTCGCTCATTCAACTTACTGGTCCACAAGGTTGGCTTTGATCCCAATGACATCATCTTTGACCCCAACATCCTCACCATAGCAACAGGAATGGAGGAGCATAATGAGTATGGCATCAACTTCATTGAAGCTACTAAAATTATCAAGGTAAGTGATTCATGTGTGCTAGACATTGTGCAACCATCAAATCAATGACTGAAAGGGGTATCACAGTTTATGGACCGCATTGCCTCTAGAACGAAATTATAAGAGTTGATGCTTTGAAGTCCCACTCTTTTTAATGTTTCATTAAAGTGACTCGGTAACATTGTTGAAGGTTGATGAAAAAACTGCGTCATTTTTGTATGAAATGTTACTTATTAATTTCCTTTTACTGTAATAACCCTCTAACATGCAAAAAAATCCTGAAAAAAATTCTCAAAACACAAAGATATTTACGTTTTTCCTTGAAGGTGTCACTGGATATTAGATAATAATAATAATACTAATAATGGGTTATTGTATAGCGCTCATGTCAGTCAGATTTGACCCTCCTGGCGCTCCCGATTATTACCCTGGCTTTAGCACGGCTGCCATACGGCGCTCTAGCATTTCAAGGAATAACTTCCTACCAGGTACCCATTTACTTCACCTGGGTGGAGTGTGGCAAATGTAGATCAATGTCTTGCCAATGGACATTAGTGCGGCGGCATTGGATACAGCTTTTCCTAGCATAACAACAGCCATTGTATGCAAGAAACAGTTGCTTAATGCCCAAGTCCACTCCAATTTTCAAAAATTATAGCATGTTTTAAATAAATCAAATATGCCAAATATCACGGGCGTACTTCAATCAGGTGCTTTCAATCAGGTGCCATGTTCACATGCAGGGCCAGATCATCAGTTGTATATGCTGTATATCTGGCCCTGTCGTCACAGTTCCATGTTAGCGGTTTTCTGCTGGCATGGATCTTCCCCGGATCTCCCCCTGGTAATATGGTGGCATTTTCGACTCGAAAACAGTTCATTCATTGGTTACATCTTCAACATTTCTAGTGATGTCAATAAACATTTCATGAATTATTTGATTTGATGAATCATTTACCTTACAAAAAATATACGGTTATATCTTTGGATTGCATAATATTCTATTTAAATAATAATTTATGTAAAAAATTATCATGCATTCCCCAATCAAATGTAATTTGTGTTGTGACTTTATGCAACTTTGATGTTTGTTTAACTTTGATTGTTTCTTTTTATGTAAGTATTTATCATTGTTTTGCGTTTAAAAATGATTTTGGTATTACGGAATCAGTTATTTTTAATGTTAATAATTACTTTTACAGGGGGCCTACACCCTACAAGCTTTGCTTTTTAGTCGGCCCTCCTTCCTTTTCGATTTCATGTTTTTTAACGTAATGTATTGTGCAAATTGATGTATATCTATAATATGTGAATATAGTAAAGATGTACCATCATTGTAAATATGAAAAATTGAAAGAGGAAAAATAAATGAATTGAATTGAATTGAACTGTGTATGTAATGTCAGGATATTTGTTTTGTCTCATTCCAGAAAAGTCTACCGGGATGCAGAATCAGTGGAGGGCTGTCCAATCTGTCGTTCTCCTTCAGAGGAAAGGATGTCATTCGTGAAGCCATGCATAGTGTATTCCTATACCATGCCATCAAGGTAGGTCTACTAACCTTGAGTGCCTCAAGGATTGGCTCCTACTTATTTAACGGAATTACTTACCCATGTTCGAAACAGAACCCTCCGATCTTCCCAAAGTCTCTTCTCACCATTCCACAAATAAATACTAAATTCTACGGGTCTTGTTCTTTTCAGGTTACATCGGCTGGACTTTGGAATAAACTACCGGAAAATCTAAAAAACTGTGATACTGTTGAATACTTTCAGACGCGTCTTAAAAAGTTTATTAACAAAAATAATGGGCTTGTCATTATTGAGATACCTGTTCCCATCCCTCATCTTATGAGGTAACATTGAAGCATAAATATCGTTGTTTGACAAATATTTAAAAAATGTCTATTCATTCTTTGTCTGTATCAAATCAAAGCTACTTTTCATCAAGTATTTCACCTTTTAAACATCAGATTGTTCATACTTAGATTGTTCCCATTTTGTTGTGATCTACCAACAGGCTGGTATGGACATGGGTATCGTGAATGCAGGAAATTTACCTCTCTATGTAGATATTGAGCCCAAGCTACTTCAACTATGTGAAGATCTGCTGTGGAACAGAGACCCTCTAACTACAGAAAAAATACTGGAATATGCCGAGGTAGGTCCAACTACATTTGATGTTTCATATCCCCTTCTTGCAGTTTAGTATAAAAATAAAATATTATTGATGTTGATTTTGGTAGATAGTTGTTGTTAATGGTGATGATGAGAGTGATGCTGCTGCTACTTTATTGTAAAATATTTTTAAAGGCTAGTTACCTAACATTAAATGTCTGTACCATGGGCGTAAATCCTTACGTAATACCTATTGTTCAGGGGGGATGATCTATTCATCCCCCCCTGAACAATAGGTATTACGTAAGGATTTACGCCGATGGTCTGTAAATGCCATGAGATGGACCCTGACCCTCATATGCGTTTGCAAGGGGTGTAGGGGCAAATATTGTAAAAAGTTGAATAAAGACCACTTTGAGGCCTAAATGGTAAGGGCCGGGGTGGTCCTGCATTTTGGCTGAAAAAATTCAAATATTTAAATTGGCTAGTTTCCTCACAATAAATGTCTCTACATGCCATAATATCAACCCTGACCCTCATATGCGTTTGAAAGGGGCGTAGGGGCAAATATTGTAAAATTTTGAAAAACACCACTTTCAGGCCAAAATGGCAAGGGCCGGGGTGGTCCAGCATTTTGGCTAAAAAAATTCAAATATTTAAATAGGCTAGTTTCCTCACAATAAATGTCTCTACATGTCATGAGATTAACCCTGACCCTCATATGCGTTTGAAAGGGGTGTAGGGGCAAATATTGTAAAAAGACGAATAAACACCACTTTCAGGCCGAAATGTTAAGGGCCGGGGTGGTCCAGCATTTTGGCTGAAAAAATTCAAATATTTAAATAGGCTTGTTTCCTCACAATAAATGTCTCTACATGTCATGAGATCAACCCTGACCCTCATATGCGTTTGAAAGGGGCGTAGGGGCAAATATTGTAAAAAGTTGAATAAACACCACTTTCAGGTGAAATGTTAAGGGCCGGGAAGGTACAGCATTTTGGCTGAAAAAATTCAAATATTAAAATTGGCTAGTTTCCTCACAATAAATGTCTCTACATGCCATGAGATCAACCCTGACCCTCATATGCGTTTGAAAGGGGTGTTGGGGCAAATATTGTAAAAAGACGAATAAACACCACTTTCAGGCCGAAATGTTAAGGGCCGGGGTGGTGCAGCATTTTGGCTGAAAAAATTCAAATATTTAAATAGGCTAGTTTCCTCACAATAAATGTCTCTACATGTCATGAGATCAACCCTGACCCTCATATGCGTTTGAAAGGGGCGTAGGGGCAAATATTGTAAAATTTTGAAAAACACCACTTTCAGGCCGAAATGTTAAGGGCCGGGGTGGTCCAGCATTTTGGCTGAAAAAATTCAAATATTAAAATTGGCTAGTTTCCTCACAATAAATGTCTCTACACGCCATGAGATCAACCCTGACCCTCATATGCGTTTGAAAGGGGTGTAGGGGCAAATATTGTAAAAAGTTGAATAAACACCACTTTCAGGCCGAAATGTTAAGGGCCGGGGTGGTCCAGCATTTTGGCTGAAAAATTTCAAATATTTAAATTGGCTAGTTTCCTCACAATAAATGTCTCTACATGTCATGAGATCAACCCTGACCCTCATATGCGTTTGAAAGGGGTGTTGGGGCAAATATTGTAAAAAGACGAATAAACACCACTTTCAGGCCGAAATGTTAAGGGCCGGGGTGGTCCAGCATTTTGGCTGAAAAAATTCAAATATTAAAATTGGCTAGTTTCCTCACAATAAATGTCTCTACATGCCATGAGATCAACCCTGACTCTCATATGCGTTTGAAAGGGGTGTTGGGGCAAATATTGTAAAAAGACGAATAAACACCACTTTCAGGCCGAAATGTTAAGGGCCGGGGTGGTGCAGCATTTTGGCTGAAAAAATTCAAATATTTAAATAGGCTAGTTTCCTCACAATAAATGTCTGTACATGCCATGAGATCAACCCTGACCCTCATATGCGTTTGAAAGGGGCGTAGGGGCAAATATTGTAAAAAGTTGAATAAACACCACTTTCAGGCCGAAATGTTCAGGGCCGGGGTGGTCCAGCATTTTGGCTAAAAAAAGTCAAATATTTAAATAGGCTAAATTCCTCAGAATAAATGTCTCTACATGCCATGAGATGGACCCTGACCCTCATATGCGTTTGAAAGGGGTGTAGGGGCAAATATTGTAAAAAGACGAATAAACACCACTTTCAGGCCGAAATGTTAAGGGCCGGGGTGGTGCAGCATTTTGGCTGAAAAAATTCAAATATTTAAATAGGCTAGTTTCCTCACAATAAATGTCTCTACATGTCATGAGATCAACCCTGACCCTCATATGCGTTTGAAAGGGGCGTAGGGGCAAATATTGTAAAAAGTTGAATAAACACCACTTTCAGGTGAAATGTTAAGGGCCGGGGTGGTACAGCATTTTGGCTAAAAAAGTCAAATATTTAAATAGGCTAAATTCCTCAGAATAAATGTCTCTACATGCCATGAGATGGACCCTGACCCTCATATGCATTTGAAAGGGGCGTAGGGGCAAATATTGTAAAATTTTGAAAAACACCACTTTCAGGCCGAAATGTTAAGGGCCGGGGTGGTCCAGCATTTTGGCCGAAAAAATTCAAATATTTAAATAGGCTAGTTTCCTCAGAATAAATGTCTCTACATGCCATGAGATCAACCCTGACTCTCATATGCGTTTGAAAGGGGCGTAGGGGCAAATATTGTAAAAAGTCGAATAAACACCACTTTTAGGCCAAAATGGTAAGGGCCGGGGTGGTCCAGCATTTTGGCTGAAAAAATTCAAATATTTAAATTGGCTAGTTTCCTCACAATAAATGTCTCTACATGCCATGAGATCAACCCTGACCCTCATATGCGTTTGAAAGGGGTGTAGGGGCAAATATTGTAAAAAGTCGAATAAACACCACTTTCAGGCCGAAATGTTAAGGGCCGGGGTGGTCCAGCATTTTGGCTGAAAAAAATTCAAATATTTAAATAGGCTAGTTTCCTCAGATTAAATGTCTCTACATGCCATGAGATGGACCCCGACCCTCATATGCGTTTGAAAGGGGTGTAGGGGCAAATATTGTAAAATTTTGAAAAACACCACTTTCAGGCCGAAATGTTAAGGGCCGGGGTGGTGCAGCATTTTGGCTGAAAAAATTCAAATATTTAAATAGGCTAAATTCCTCAGAATAAATGTCTCGACATGCCATGAGATGGACCCCGACCCTCATATGCGTTTGAAAGGGGTGTAGGGGCAAATATTGTAAAATTTTGAAAAACACCACTTTCAGGCCGAAATGTTAAGGGCCGGGGTGGTGCAGCATTTTGGCTGAAAAAATTCAAATATTTAAATAGGCTAGTTTCCTCACAATAAATGTCTGTACATGCCATGAGATCAACCCTGACCCTCATATGCGTTTGAAAGGGGCGTAGGGGCAAATATTGTAAAAAGTTGAATAAACACCACTTTCAGGCCGAAATGTTCAGGGCCGGGGTGGTCCAGCATTTTGGCTAAAAAAAGTCAAATATTTAAATAGGCTAAATTCCTCAGAATAAATGTCTCTACATGCCATGAGATCAACCCTGACCCTCATATGCGTTTGAAAGGGGTGTAGGGGCAAATATTGTAAAAAGACGAATAAACACCACTTTCAGGCCGAAATGTTAAGGGCCGGGGTGGTGCAGCATTTTGGATGAAAAAATTCAAATATTTAAATAGGCTAGTTTCCTCACAATAAATGTCTCTACATGCCATGAGATGGACCCTGACCCTCATATGCATTTGAAAGGGGCGTAGGGGCAAATATTGTAAAATTTTGAAAAACACCACTTTCAGGCCGAAATGTTAAGGGCCGGGGTGGTCCAGCATTTTGGCCGAAAAAATTCAAATATTTAAATAGGCTAGTTTCCTCAGAATAAATGTCTCTACATGCCATGAGATCAACCCTGACTCTCATATGCGTTTGAAAGGGGCGTAGGGGCAAATATTGTAAAAAGTCGAATAAACACCACTTTTAGGCCAAAATGGTAAGGGCCGGGGTGGTCCAGCATTTTGGCTGAAAAAATTCAAATATTTAAATTGGCTAGTTTCCTCACAATAAATGTCTCTACATGCCATGAGATCAACCCTGACCCTCATATGCGTTTGAAAGGGGTGTAGGGGCAAATATTGTAAAAAGTCGAATAAACACCACTTTCAGGCCGAAATGTTAAGGGCCGGGGTGGTCCAGCATTTTGGCTGAAAAAAATTCAAATATTTAAATAGGCTAGTTTCCTCAGATTAAATGTCTCTACACGCCATGACATCAACCCTGACCCTCATATGCATTCGAAAGGGATGTAGGGGCAAATATTGTAAAAAGCCAAATAAACGCCACTTTCAGGCCGAAATGTTAAGGGCCGGGGTGGTCCAGCATTTTGGCTGAAAAATTTCAAATATTTAAATAGGCTAGTTTCCTCACAATAAATGTCTCTACATGTCATGAGTTCAACCCTGACCCTCATATGCGTTTGAAAGGGGCGTAGGGGCAAATATTGTAAAAAGTTGAATAAACACCACTTTCAGGCCGAAATGTTAAGGGCCGGGGTGGTCCAGCATTTTGGCTAAAAAAATTCAAATATTTAAATAGGCTAAATTCCTCAGAATAAATGTCTCTACATGCCATGAGATGGACCCTGACCCTCATATGCGTTTGAAAGGGGTGTAGGGGCAAATATTGTAAAATTTTGAAAAACACCACTTTCAGGCCGAAATGTTAAGGGCCGGGGTGGTGCAGCATTTTGGCTGAAAAAATTCAAATATTTAAATAGGCTAAATTCCTCAGAATAAATGTCTCGACATGCCATGAGATGGACCCCGACCCTCATATGCGTTTGAAAGGGGTGTAGGGGCAAATATTGTAAAATTTTGAAAAACACCACTTTCAGGCCGAAATGTTAAGGGCCGGGGTGGTGCAGCATTTTGGCTGAAAAAATTCAAATATTTAAATAGGCTAGTTTCCTCACAATAAATGTCTGTACATGCCATGAGATCAACCCTGACCCTCATATGCGTTTGAAAGGGGCGTAGGGGCAAATATTGTAAAAAGTTGAATAAACACCACTTTCAGGCCGAAATGTTCAGGGCCGGGGTGG